GTTCAAGTATTCAGTTCTGCCCTTAGAATGCAAAATGTCCACAGACAACATGTAAACAAATGGATGCCACTGTGTTCCAATAAAACGTTATTTCCAAAAAGAAAAGAAAAGGAAAACCGAGTCATACATCACAGGGAAATAATGACAGCGGGCTCTATTGAAGAGTACGTTTGAGAAACCCTTGCAGACAGGATGGCTTTTTAAAAAGATTTCTTTTATGTGTTTGGGTGTTTTGCCTACATGTAGGTATGTGCACATATATGCAGTGCCCAGGGAGGCAGGAAGAGGTCATTGTATCCCTCGGAACAGCAGTTACAGACAGTTGTAAGCTGCCACTTGGGTCCTGGGAATGGAAGCTGGGCCCTCTGGAAAAGCAGATAGTACTTTTAACCACTAAGCCAAGTCTCCAGTCCAGAGAAAGGGGTTTCTAAAGGGTGTTTTACAGAATACTTAGAATTAAATGGACAGACATGAGGACGGCAAAGAAAGGTTTACGAAGAGAATAAAACATGAACAAGAACACAGACAATGAAAATACAGCGGGAGGCCTGCGCTGTGGCTGAGTTAGCTGCAGGCTCCACCACAGGTAAACATCAGAGTAAAACCGAGACAGCTGAGGCCGAGACCTGAGGCTGCAGGCCCTGGGACAGCACTGCCAGCACCTGCTGGCTGCTCGAAGAGGATCTGGACTACCACGCCCCAATCACAAGAGCCTTGATAAAGGCTATGGAAGCAACAAGGGAAGCTGGGAAGGTGTCAAACTCAGAAAACAACATATGAAGAATTTCTGTGTAACAGTAGAAAACATGAAGTCTTAGAAAAATAACAAAGAGCAACAAAGACACACACACACGCACACACACGCACACATACAGAGAGCAATAAAGACACACACACACACACCGCAATAAAAAAATCACACACACAAAGACAAAGAAAGGACCAATGAACACCCATGGAATACAACTAACCAAGCAAAAGAAATGTGAATGGAGACAGATAGAAGATGAGAATGACCATGCCCTTTAGCATCTGCAGCGCACAAGGGATGTTCCCACGGCAACAGTGTCTCTGGAGCAATGGGAAAGTGTAACTTAAGCCACTGACATCTCACTTCTAACATGACTCTGACAACAGCACAGAGGTGAAGCTGAGCCCTGAAAGGCAGCTGGGCTCACTGTAGTGTGCAAAGGGAAGGCCATACCACACCCAGCAAACAGCTGACCGAGAACACAGAGGCTCACAAGAAACACAGCAGCGACAACAAAACTCAAAAGGAAAAGTAATGAACCAGCAAAATGGGGAGAGAAAGCGGGGCCAAGGGACCCAGGATGCACGGTGAAGTGCAACTCTGCAGGGTGCACAGCAGCCTGGGCGCTGTGATTACTGTGACACACAGTGTGTCCTGGAACCCACAATGTAGCCCAGGCTAGCTCTGAGCTCAGGGCAATCCTCTCGCCCCACTCCCAGGTGCTGGGATAACAGGCGTGAGCCACAACAGGAGGCTAAGAAAGCATCTTGTGACATGGGATTGTGACACCTTTCTTCTCCTCCTCCTGCTTTCTCCTACAGAGACATCCATCAAATGGAAAACTAGAAAGAAACACATGAGTCTTTCCAAAAGAAGACAGAATAAAGGGGATAAAGCCAAAAAAATAACCAAAAAGATACTTCAGATGAGTTTAACACACACCAACAATTAAAACTCACTTGTTTATTCTGCATTTTTTCAGTCTTTAGTTCACACCCAAACCAGCTTGCTGATGATTTCTTTCCCCGTAGATGGAAAGAATGCTTTTCCATGGTAAGGCTATCATGGAAGTTAAGATCTTGTTTTCCTAGTCACTTAAAGGAATCAAGGAGGCAGAGCTGCATCCCAAGGCTGTGGGCTGTGCAGAACTCCTGGGATTCCTACAGCTCCACGAAGCCATGCATTCCTGAGACACCGGTGGATGGAACTCAGACTCATGCACTCTCACTCCTGTCCCCGCCCACTTTGTTAAGTATCTGTTCCTGGGCAGGAGGGCCCTGCTCTCCATAACCGAGGGTCAGGGGCTTCAGAATCTTAGTGAGGGAAGGGTGCTGCTAGCCCTGCAGGCTCCTGAGTTCACTCCAGGCCTCGTGGGAGGTGGTGGGAGGAGGGGTCTGAGTGCAGACAGGGAGGACACCACCGCTGCTCTTCTACTCCTCCAGCTCTGTCTGAGGAGGTTTCACTGCGTCCATTCGTCATGAGGTGAGGCGACCCTTCCTGAGGCCCTCTGCACCCTCATGCCTCCTTCCCAGCTCTGCTTCCTTCCTCTCGTCCTCCCGTGGGGATCCCTATTCGTTCCGAGTCTGGCTCATAGAGAAGACCCTAAGAGAAGACCTATTTCAACTAAAGACAGAAGTCCTATGCGTGAAGTCAGTCACCCACCATTGTGAGACGCGGGAATCCTTGCAGGCAGCACCTCCAGCGAAGCCTCAGGAAGAGTGAACTCCGGCTCCTATTTATACAAGCGAGAATGGCCACACAAGGATTCCTTGGAAAGTATCTGTTCCAGGAACACAGTGTTTACAGAGGGTGGAGCAGAAAGTTACGATTTCTATTGATTGAATTTTTTATCTATTAAGCCTCTACCCTAAGGCTTCATTCCTTCCATATGGATTTAAAAATTATTTTTTCCAGTTTTGTGAAGAATTGAGATGGAATTTTGATTTTGAATCTGTAGGTTGTTTCTGGAATGTGGTCATTTTCATGTAATGACCTACCTATCCATGTGGAAGGTTCTCCCCATCTCCTGGTGTCTTCTCCACCTCCTCCTACATGGCAAAGTTTTCATGGCACAAGAGCTTTAAGGCCTGTGACCTTTTTTGTTTGTGTGTTTATATTGCAGCTGTTAATTCTACAAAGCTGTGATTCTCTGCCTGTCTAAGCCACATGATTGATACTCTAACAAAGAGCCAATAGTAAGTCAAGAGCAAGAATAGGCTGGGCTGCTAGGCAGGGAGAATAAATAGAAGGGGAAATGAGGAGGAGCAACAAGAGAACAAGGAGAACAGGACATCCAGGGCCACAACACAGTCACCCAGCCTCCAACCCGCTCAGCCAACCAGTCACCCATTCACCAACCCACCCAGCCACCAACCCACACAGCTACCAACCCATACAGCCAACCAGCCACTTAACCATCCATAGAGTACGAAGGAAAGTTAGATCTACAGAAGTAAGGAAGAAAAAAGCTCAGAGGGAAAACATAAACAGGATAGCTTAAGTTAAAAAGGAAAGCTGGCTAGAAACAAGCCAAGCTAAGGCCATGCATTCATGACTTAGACTATACCTCCATGTGTGGTTTGTTTGGGAGCGGGGAGGCAGCCCCCACCTCCAAATAACCAAAAGGCCAAAAGAGTAAAAAAAATCCCACAACACAGGTCTTCCAAGGAAATGAAAAACTGTAGTGAGTGAGTTTGTTTCTCTGATTTCTTCCTAGGCAAGCTGGCTTGTCTTTGGGATACAGGAAGGCAACATATTTGGTAAGCTGGATTTGTAATCTGTGCTTTGCTGAAAGTGTTTGTCAACAACAGACTTTTCTGGTGGTTTAGGGCCTCTCATATATAGAGTCAATTCATCTCTAAGAAGGGACACTTTCCTTCTCTCTAACTCTCATCCCTGTGCTTTATTGATTCCATGCTATTCGTCCCAGTCTGACATGTAGAAACTATTTATTTTCTGACATTCCCTTCAGGAAACATCTTGTTAAGTTCCACATCGGGGAACTTTATACGTGCAGTAGGTGCTGCTGCACAGTAGGTGATCAGAGATTATTTTCTTAGTGAACAGACACAGTACATATCTACATGAGCTTTACTGTGTACAAAGTCCATTCTTCACTTTTTAAAATTACTTTGAAAAAAATTGGAGACAGAGACTTCCTATGTGATACTGGCTGTAACCTCAATTCCAGGGGATCTCACACCCTATTCTGGATTCCTCAGGCTCACTTTCAGGTAACAGCTCTGTACACACGCATACACATGAACACACACACACACACACTCACAAAGTTACTGTTATTTGTTAGGTTGTTTTTGAGATAGGTCTTTCCTATGTAGCTTTGGCTGGCCTAGAACTCAGATTTTGGACCACGTTGGCCTTGAACTTGTAGAGATCAACCGACTTCTGCCTCCTGAGTGCTGGTACTAAAGACTTCTATAGGTGCCATCATGCCTGGCTCATAAAATGAAACAAACAAATGAAAAAGTCCTGAGGTTGGACAAAGTTAAATTTGTTGTCTGCAACCAAATTCTCCCATATTGAGACTGAATCTGACCACAAAGCCAGATCCACCAGGTGTTTTGAAGGGATCATTTGTTATTAAGGGTTATGTAGTCATCGAATAAGTGTTTGAGAAGGTAGGGCAGCAGGCAATGTTGTCCCTGAGTAGACCATGGTCAGTCAGCCACCTAGCAGAGAACTCAGATTGACCAGGACAGCACACTCTAGAGCAGAGTTCTCATCAGAGCCCAGCCTCCCTGATGCTTCTCAACCCTCTTCTCAAATATGAAAGATTTCCACTCACACCTGGGAAAAGCATCCACAGCATGCCGTGGTCCCCACCCTCCATCTGAGACCTAAAGGCATAAGATGGAAGTGACCCCCTAACACCAAATGGTTTGAAAAGGGATATTCTATTCAGTTTTATTCATATTGCAAGAATACGTTGGAAGACATAAAAACGTGTATATTTTATGAGCTCATTTATATGTAAACCAAACTGAAATTTTTTCTTAAAAAATCTTAGTTTTCTGAAGGGGATTTTGAGGAAGAAAGGAGACATTCCTGGCCAATGTTTGGAAAGTGTAGCTCAGTTCCCAACATGGGAAATGCTATGGGAAACTATTCAAATAGGGGAGCTCTGGCTATGGAGGGAGGAGGTGCTGATTATCTTCCCTACGTTCCAAGAGACTCCTGGGAAGGAACCTGGGCTTCTGGTCAGTTCAGGGAGAACTAGTGAGCAGGTGGCAAGGGCGGTGCCCCATGACATCAGCAGCGCCTTCCCTGGACATTCTACATTCTCCCAGAGAACTCTTGGCATTCCCTGTGACGTCACCAGTGTCGTAGCGACACCAACTGCCCTTAGGAGATCCCTTCAGTGTCTCTAGAGCACACCATTAGACATGTTGTCAAGATTTAGGTCTCTTCTTGTGAGAGGCAGTGGAGAACTTCCTGAGACCAGAGCGAGGCAGCAGGAAGCTGCCCTTCAGACTAGAAGTAAAACAGGAAGAAAGAAATGGTTCTGGCAGAAGAGCAGTGAGTCCTGGGCAGGAGACTGGAGCTTCCTGGGGGAGCAGGAGGGTTTGAGCTGGACCTTCCAGTGATGAGGCAGAGGAGCCAGAGCCTCTGAGAAGCAAATGGACTTCCCTGCTTGTCACAATCCCAGAACATCAAGGATTCCAAACATTAGTTGCTCCGTCCCCTAAGTCAGGAGCTGTCCAGTCCAGGGCTGTTGAGCTGGGAGCTCCTATCTTTTACATTTAAGGGGTTTTGGGGTGTAATGTGGAATCAGAAGGAGACCAGCAGGAGGCAGAGAGAGACGAATGTGCCCCCAGCTGAGGGTAGGCTTCACGGCACTTCACCCTCAGTGATTTGCTTTAGGGGCAGTGGCTGCCTGACAACACTCACAGGGAGAGGAAGGGGCTTCTGACAAAGACCTTGTGCCTCAGACTGTACAGCAGACCTCATCTGTCCACCTCTCTCTGACAATGGCCCCCTTAGCTGAGGAGGATGGCTACAGTTCTCTAGTGTAGACACACAACTGTCAGAGATGGGACCAGGGCAGAGATTGGTTCCTAGGTGCCAGCCTCCATGTACAGGGCTGTGACTGGTGCGACTCGGTTAATCTTGTGACCATAATGTCCCTTTGCAGGACTTTTCAATCCCCAGTCATGGGCCTGCAGTAAGCAGGAAGGAGATTTGGCCTCCTCACAGAACATGGATGCTTGCACACTGTGCCATTCATCTCCTGGCTTCTGAATGCACAGGCTGGGCTAAGGGCTCTGGACCACATTGCATCCTGTGCCACTGTGAATAATGCTAAAGAGCTGATCTCTGTGTTCCCCTGAAGCATGTGTAGGGAAGCAGAGGAAACCCCTGTCTCCTTACATAGTCACAGGTCTACAGAGTAATGGGAGAGCTGAGATCCACAGATGGGGCATCTCAACCCGGCTCAAATTATTTGTGTCATCACTGGGCTCCAGACAAAATCTTTCTGTTTGGTCTCAGTTGGTGTGTCCATTCTCTATGCTTTGTCACTGGGTGAGCTCAGCTGTGTTCATCTACCCACAGAGGCTGCTGTGGAGGCCTCATCCCAGCCAACGCCCCTCACCCAGAAACAGGTGAAGAAGGAACTGGAGAGGCTGAGCACGGAGCTGCAGCTGATGAGAAGACAAAGGGATGAGCTGCGAGATCGCCTGCTCTTCATCACGGAAGGAACCGTGGACAACAGGTAGCCATTGTTTGACTCCAAGGGACTGTGGGCGATGCTGCCCTCACATGCGAACTCTACTTTTAAGGTTTTGTGTTCTAGGAGACATCACCTCCAGAATGACTTCTCATAGGAGAGGCAGACCCGAAGCTTTAGAGGGACTGATATGGGGCCTCTAATTATTCTGCCTTCTACAAATGAGAACTAGAGACTTTGGATGAAACACAAACTAGAGTGTAACGCAGTAATGTGTGAGTTCCCAGCATGCAATTGGAAGATCCTGAGAGGTGGTGACTTATGTGAGATACTGTCTTCTGTGAGTTTGTGTTGAGTCTTTGAATTTGACTGGTAGGTGACTGTGTGCTGGAAGCCCTTGGAAGTTGATGGAGGGGAAGGCCCAGTAGGTCCATTTGAGTGCAGGACTGTACATCCTGGATTACATCCCTGTTTCTCTTGTAATGTGAATACCTATAGTCCCTGCAACCCAAGACATCACCAGCCAGTCCCTCCTCTACCTTATGATGGGTCTTGTCTGCACCTAAAACCACGCCCATAAGGGGCGGTCCCTACTACAGTTCACTGGCATGGCAAGATGCCATGACCCTTCCTGCATTACACTCTTAGAGCAAACTGCTCCAAATGTGTCCTTAGCACCTAATTATAGGCACATGCTCCAACTATATCTCAATACCTCTCCTTCTCTCTATAATGTGTGTGAAATTGTGTGTGTGTGTGTGTGTGTTGTGTTGTGTTTGGCGGTGTATGTTTGTTTATCTCTACAGATTCAGGGAGACGGAGAACTCTGGTATAGCCTGGGTTTTCCTGTCTCAGTTTCCAAGTGATCCCAGTGCGGAGGTCAGGGAATGCCATTTCAAACGACACTGATCTTGTCCTATGTGCTCACATTGGTGGCAACTGGGAATCCCTTGGGGGAGATTTTATAGTTGTCCTCATGATGGGTCTCAACCGTAGAATTTCGTGCTCTGTCTTACTCTTCAGTAATAGTCACCCAGGACCTAGACTCACTGTTGTGACATGGCAGAAATGTCATTGTGATATCTGGTGTGCCAAGACATGTGGCATACACTCCCGGTGTCATGAGACCTTGACCGACTCTGCAGGCTGACTGCGTGAGCTCATGCAGCCAGGGTGGCCTCCACGTGAACACCCAGCCTCTGCTGCCCTGGGACCCGGATCACACGTTTAAAGCACCAGGAAGTCCCAGTACACATGAGCCAGAGTGTGCCATGCACCGGGCTGTGGTACACCAGGTACAGCTGGAGTGCATGATCCTTGAGGGCAGTGTCCATGGCATTCTGTTGTCCTGTCTCTAGGCCCTACCACAAGCCAAATCCTTTCTATGAGAAACTGAAGTTGGAGCATGAACAGGTCATGTCAGAACTGAAGAGACTGCAGAATGAGAAGACAGGAGCATCAGAGAAGTGCCATGAGCTGACCAAGGAGACAGTCTTTTATCGGTAGGTGACAAGGAGACAGTCTTTATCGGTAGGTGACAATCTTGGCACAGACCCCATGAGACTATGAGCCATCGCAGCCCTTTCCCCCAGGACTGGAGAGTCACAGCTCTGGTCCTAGCCTTTCTGTTCCTTAGGAAGCAGTTCTTGGATTGTATCTCTGGGAGTCAGTTTTGCCAAGTGTGAAGGAGACTGCTGTCCCGTGTCACCATTGTCCTGGAGTCTCAGGGAGCAGAGATAGAAAGGTGGATTTGCACTGTGGGGGCGACGAAAGGCGTCCCAGTGCATCTGGAGCTAAGCTCTGGCTGTACAGATCTGGTGGCCTTAGGTCGTTAGATGGGAGGTACTCACCAATCGTCTCCTGTCCTTTCTTGGAGGGATTTGCCCACTACTTGCCGATGTTTCCCCCTTACCATGGATAGCAGGGACTCCCCTTTCTATTGAACACATCATATGAGTCTCTTTAGTGTGGGGCTTTCTGTAGTAGTTTGATTCTTCCTGGTAGTAGCTGTTTTCCTTGATCTTCTGAGGTCAGCTGTCATGGGTGAGCCTGACTCATGACTGGATCTTCCTGGAACCTGGTATTTTGGGGGTATTGGTTCTTAGAGGCAGGGGTGGCAGGAGAAGCCTGGCAGGGCCTTATCTGCAGAGTGTGTCTCCAGAGGTCTGCACAGCCGACTCGTGATGGAACAGACTCAGATGACCAAGAAGGTGGACATGCAGAGGCAGGAGAACAGACACCTGCTGGAGGATTGGGTCCTGCTGAAGCGCCACCTGGAGGACTTGAGAGAGCTCTGCAAGGATGGAGAGGAAGAGACCAGTGACCTCCAAACCCCAGAACAGCAGGTAGGGGCAGTTAGGCTGAGGCCTGGAAACCTTTGTTTGTTTGACACTGTCTCCTCATCCCCCACCTGCGCTTTCAGCCATCATCCTACTCATGCATGCTCCCATGCAGTCACCCACTGCATGCATCCTCGTGCTCATTTCAGTGTCCATGCACATGTGCTTCTGTGACATCAGCCTCTACTGAGAAAGTGAATTAATATCAAGCCATCCCTGCTCCTATGCCTGTAGCTGCAGTCCTGTGTAGGAGATGGGTCAATAGCGTGTTTCACGCATACATGGCATTATGATAGGTAGGAATCAATGCATAGAGCTCTGGGTGAGTGAGTTCTGGGTCCTGGGGCCCATTAGCTTGGCAGGGCTCACATGAGATCACAGATGGCAGCAGTTTGCAAGGAGGAGATCTCTGTGTCAGGACCATATGAGAGCTTCTCATAGTCTTGGCTTTGGATGGCATGTGGTTTTCTCCTTTCTCCCTGCATCCCTGTGAGCTCTCTTCAGTTTGCCAAGCTTGAGTAACAGCTCTTCAGCCCTGTTTCCTGTCAGTGGTTCTGGAGATTTCTCCCATTCAGCAGAACACACTCTGGGGTAGACAGAATGAACAGCTGGGGGATTTGACAAGGTTGTGGTAGAAGAAGGAGATTTGTGCCCGTGAGTAAAAATTTCTCAAAGCAGCTCAACATAGTTTGGTCAAAGGAATCACAATTCAGACAGTAGTACTAGTCCCCAAGTAATGGTGGCTGAGTTATGAAATATCTGGTGTGGGTAGTCTAAACTCAACTGCTCACCTGCCCTGACTCTTTGTCTGCTAGTTCCCTGTCTCCCTCTCTTCTTGTGTTTTTTCTCACTCTCCGTGTGTGTGTGTGTGTGTAGTATATCCATGTGTGTGTTGTAGTACATCATTCACATGTGCATTGACTAGGGAATACCACTTGGTATCTTGTTAGTCTCTACTTCGGTTTGGACTTTTTTATTTACTAGATGCTTACGTTTTTGCTATCTATGCTGAAAAGGAAGCCACTGAGGTCCTTTTATGTGCTTCCGTTTGTATGAGAGTTTGTGACCCTCCATTAAGAACACAATCTTCTAATGAACAGGAGCTGCAGAGACTGCAGAAAATACTTGACTTCCTGATGAAGCAGAAGGAGACGGTCATGCAGGAAAAGGAGTTGGTGGAGAAGCTGCAGCATCACTTGGAGATGTCCCAGATGAGGTAGGGGCCCAGGATACGGGGAGAAGAGAGTACCTAGGATCTGTGTCTTCTCTGGAGTTCTCACTTGCATGTCTCCCAGCCAGAACCATGGAAAGACAACCTCAGAGAAATGTGCTAGTCCAGACAGCAGGAACACAAATACAGGAAACAATAATTTTGATACTAAGTATGCCTGTAGATTTGGGTCTTCCTCCTTCCCTTCTGAATTTTCTATGTTTTCAGCATGACTTCCTTAAATTCATAAATATCAGCCTGCTTCAGCCTCCAAAGAGATAGAATTTAAAGTTGAACACCTCAGAGCCTGTTTGAAATTGTAAGTTTATTTAGAAAAATTCCCTGTAGAGAAGAGATTCCCACCTTTGAACACAGCTTTCTGAAATATATGCCCAATTTCTATGCAAAGTACTCTCTGGATAGAACAGGTCAGGAATTTTGCATGATGAACCCAGGCAGATGCCTCAGCTGGGGGTAAGACCAGAACTTCTCAGGAGTGTTCTGTCACTGATTCTCAAAGAGATATAGGATGCAGATTCCCAGCTCTAGTCCTGAGGACATCACAAGTTTGTTGGTCCCAGAGCCCAGGCAGGGGCAGTGCTCTCAGGAACACATGTCAGGAAAAGCTGCTCTAGCATGGCAGGCCCTATCTTGCATGTCACTCATGTTCAATGTCTCTCCAGGACATGAGGACAGAGCTAGTCATGACCTTGTTTAGGAGCCCAGGGCGTAGGGGCTGTATTATGTTTATGTATAAAATGATGTGGTCAATAGTAACTCACCACATATAACATCTGTTGTGCTCATATCTTGTTGACCATGATATTAATATGCTATTGCTATTTAAAGAGTGATGATTCTAATCTCCAGGATAAGGTCCTATTCATGCTAGTAGAAAGGACAACATACAGTGCTTAGCTTAATTTATGACATGTGCTTAGGGTTGAGAAATGTTCTAGACCCAGCTACTCCTCAATCCTTATTCTTTGGGGGGTACCAACACTGACATCAGTCACAAGATCAATGTTGACTGTACAACACAGGTGAGGTGGAGGGGAGGGAGCAGCTTAGCAGCCTACATGGAAGTTCCCAACCTGGCCTGAGTCCTCCCTTCTCTTTTCTCCCAGGTTCAAAAGCATTCAGCCTGTCCTGAAGCCGGCCACATCCTAGGATTAGAGCCACTTTAAGACACAGCTGCTTCAGCAAGAGACACCTGCTGAGTCACATCCCTGGAACTACTGAATTCTCCCTCAGTCTTGGTGGAGAACATGACAGACAGAGCCCAATAGAGGAAAGGCTGTAGCCATCTTGACAAAGCTGTCACACTGTAGACTCCCCTGCTACTCTGCAAGGCCAGCCCTAGGTTGCAGGACTGTGCCTGTCAATCTGCAGGAAGAAAATGCTGTTCATTTTCTGTTTTGTTTTGGTTTTGGTTCATGTTTTTGAGTTTGGTTGTTTTTGTTTTGCTGATTTGATGTTATTCTTGTTATTGTTTTTCCTAGGTTGTTTTTTATTGACTACCCCTTTAAAGCCCGATTTGAGACAAGTGTATTTTTCATGAATTAAAAAGCCATTCATTTCCAACTCTTGAGAGTCAAGCCCAGCTTTTTAGTCAGGTGTGGTGACACTCCTGTAACCCAGAATTCATAGGACTGATGGACATCTGCCAGTTCCAGGAAGCACAGGCTACATGTCTTTCAGCCAGGACCACACAGGGGATTGTTGTCCTGGATATGGATACAATGACGTTGTGGTGACCTATTATTTATGATTTAACAAATATTGCCAGAAGTATTAAATTCAATGTCGGTAATGCTAATTAGATGTAGAAGCTAGACAGGGCTGGCACACACTTTAAATCTCAGGGTTCAGCGTGGATCTCTGTGAAGTCAAGGCCCTTTGCCATGGCACATGTCAGAGTATACTGAGGAAGGCTTACTTCCAGGTGACTTTATAATCGCAGAGCTTCTGGGCATGCATGTGACTTCTGACAGTGGAGGTGAGTCAGAGAGTTCAAGTATGGAGGAAGTAATCCTGTGGATCCCAGACAGGTGCTGAGAACAGGGCTTCTACACGTTCAACAGCCAGAGAAACGGGAGAGGATTCAGTTCCTCTCTGCTGAAGCTCACGTTCTCTTTCTGAGCTGACACAGAAGGGACATGTGTCAGCACCCTGGAAACTATCTGAGACTGGTGTAAGTCACACTACCAAATCACTACTGTATTAAATGTGTCCCCATCTGTCTTCTCATTGTCTGGTAGGAGCCTGGACACAGCTATGCCTTAGTCACATGTGGGTGGTCAGTAGAGTGGTTGGTTGGTTTGGTAAGTATACCAGATGGATAGAGGGGGCTTTTTTGTGGTCCACTCTATTTGGTATTGTGTATGCTTCTTTTTTGTGTTTTTTTATTTTAATTTTTAAATTTAAATTTAAATTAGAAACAAGGTTGCTTCACATGTCAATTCCAGGTCCCTCTCCCTTTCCCTCGCCTCCTCCCATGGCCCTCCCACCAACTCCTCATTTCCTCAGGAATGATGAGGCTCTCCATGGGGGTGTCCATAGTCTGTCATTTATCCAGGGCAGGGCCTAGACCCTCCCGCGAGAGTCCAGGATGAGAGTGCATCTCTCATTGTTGGATGGGTGCTCAAAATCCTTTTGTATACCCGGCATAAATACTGATCTACTACCCAAGGCTCAATAGATTGCCTAGGCCTCCTCACTGACACCCACATTCAGGGGGTCTTGATCAGTCCCATGCTTGACTTCCAGCCATCAGTCTGGGATTCAAGAGCTAACCCTTGTCAGGTCAGCTGTTTCTGGGGGTTAGACCAGCCCAGCCTTAACCCCTTTGCTCATCAGTCCTCCCTCTCTGTCACTGGGTTCCTTCAGTTCAGCTCAGTTTTTAGCTGTAGGAGTCTGCCTCTGCTTTCATCAGCCATTGAATGAAGGTTTTGTTTCCCAGACTCTCTGTCAGAAAGATTGCATGCTAGCACTCCCCAGATCTATGTCCAAAAAGATAAATGTGAGAGTGCATATCATGTTCCTTTTTGTGACAGGGTTACCTCACTCAGGATGGTTTCTTCTTAGTGCCATCCATTTGCCTGCAAATTACAGGGTTCCATTGTCTTTTTTTTTTTTAACTGAATAGTACTCCATTGTGTAAATGTACCACATTTTCTCCATCCATTCTTCGGTTGAGAGGCATCTAGGTTGCTTCCAAGTTCTGGCTATTACAAATAATGCTGCTATGAACATAGAGGAAAAGATGTCCTTGTTGTATGAATGTGCATCTTTTGGATATATGCCTAAGAGTGGAGTTGCTGGGTCTTGTGGTAGGCTGATCCCATTTTCCTGAGGAATCTCCATACTGATTTCTAAAGTGGCTGTACAAGTTGATACTCCCACCAGCAGTGTGAGAATGTTCCCCTTTCTCCACATTCTCTCCAGCATAAACTGTCATTGGTGTTTTTGATTTTAGCCATTCTGAGGGGAGTAAGATGGTATCTCAGAGTTGTTTTGATTTGCATTTTCCTGATGGCTAGAGATGTTGAGCACTTTCTCAAGTGCCTCTCAGCCATTTTAGTCTCCACTATTGAGAATTCTCTATGCAGTGCTGTAGCCCACTTTTTATTTGGATTCTTTGTTTTAGAGACTTGCTTCTTGAGTTCTTTGTAAATTTTGGAGATCAGCCTTCTGTCAGATGTGGGGTTGGTGAATATCTTTTCCCATTCTCTGGGCTGCCTTTTTGTCTTGCTCACTGTGTCCTTTGCCTTACAGAAGTTTCTCAGTTTCAGGAGGTCCATGTATTAATTGTTGACCTCAGTGTCTGTGTTACTGGTGTTATGTTCAGGAAGCTGTCTCCTGTACCAATTCTTTCAAGGGTACCATCCACTTTCTCTTCTAAGAGGTTCATTGTGTCTGGATTTATGTTGAGGTCTTTGATCCATTTGTACTTAAGTTTTGTGCATGGTGAGAGATAGCTGCAGTCTTCTACATGCCAGCATCCAGTTATGCCAGCACCATTTGTTGAAGATGCTTTCTTTTTTCCATTGTATATTTTTAGCTTCTTTGTCGAAGATCAGATGCTCATACATGTATGGGTTAATATCAGGGTGTTCAATTCGATTCCATTGGTCTACCTGTCTATTTTTGTGCCAATACCAAGCTGTTTCCAGGACTACAGCTCTATAATATAGCTTGAAGTCAGGGATGGTGATGTGTCCAGATGTTGCTTTGTTGAGTAATTTTGTTTTGGCCATCCTGGGTGTTTTGTTTTTCCATACATAATTGATTATTGTTCTTTCAAGGTCTGTGAAGAATTGTGCCGGAATTTTGATAGGGATTGCATTGAATTTGTAGACTGCTTTTGGCAAGATTGCCATTTTTATTATGTTAATCCTACCAACCCAAGAGTATGGGAGATCTTTCCATTTTCTGGTATCCTCTTTGATTTCATTCTTTAGAGACTCAATGTTGTTGATATACAGGTCTTTCACTTCTTTGGTTAACATTATCCCCAGATATTTGATGCTTTCATGGCTCTTGTAAAGGTTGATGTTTCTCTGATTTCTTTCTCAGTCACTTCATCATCTGTATATAATAGGGTCACTGATTTTTTTGAGTTTACCTTGTATCCTGCCACTTTGCTGAAGGTATTTATCAGCTCTAGGAGTTTTATTGTGGAGTTTTTCGGGTCAATTATGTAAACTATCATATCATCTGCAATTAGTGAAAGCTTAACTTCTTTTCCTATTTGTATCCCCTTGATCTCCTTTTGTTGTTTTATTGCTCTAGCTAGAACTTCAAGAACAATATTGAAGAGACATGGAGAGAGTGGACAGCCTTGTCTTGTTCCTGATTTTAGAGGAATTACGTTGAGTTCTCTCCATTTAGTTTGATGTTAGCTATTGTTTTACTGTATATAGCTTTTATTATGTTCAGGTATGTTCCTGTTATCCCTGATCTCTCTAGGACCTTTATCATAAAAGGGTGCTGGATTTTGTCAAAGGCCTTTTCAGCATCTAGTGAGATGATCATGTGATTTTTCTTTCGCAGTTTGTTTATATGGTGGAATACATGATAGATGTTCTAATGTTGAACCACCCCTGCATTCCTGGGATGAAACCTACTTGATCATGGTGGATGATTTTTCTGATGTGTTCTTGAATCTGATTTGCTAGTATTTTATTGAGTATTTTTGCATCGATGTTCATGAGGGAAATTGGTCTATAGTTTTCTTTCTTAGTTTTGTCTTTGTGTGTCTTGGGTACAAAGGTAATTGTAGCCTTGTAAAAAGAGTTTGGCAGTGAGCCTCCTACTTTTATTGTGTGGAATACTTTGAGGAGTATTGGAATTAGCTCTTCTTTGAATCTGGTGGAATTCTGCACTGAAGCCATCTGGACATGGACTTTTTTTGGTTGGGAGACTTTTGATGACTGCTTCTATTTCATTAAGCAATCTAAACAGACCTATAACCCTTAATGTATACGTCTCTTATTAGTTGATGAAAAAAAAAAACCAATGTTGGTCAATAAGGGGGAAGATAGGTGGGACTAGGAGACAAAGAGAATTCTGGGAAAGGTAGGTAAAGGGAGCCTGCCACAGAGTCGTCATGCTGCCAAAGGAGTTACAAGTTGCAGGGACATTACCAGGTAAGTTACAGCCTCATGGCAATATATAGATGGATAGAAATGGGTTAATAATTAAGACAGATCTAGTCAATAAGAAGCCCTAGTCATTGGCCAACAGTTATATAATTAATATAGCATCTGTGTGCTTATTCATGGTGAATAAGGACTTGGTGGGCAAAACTGCCAGCAACAGACCAGGGCTACTGCAGAGTCGGTGCTAAGAGACACTAACTAGACTGAACCAAGTGTCCAGAAATATGACCAGGGCAAAGTGCAAGGAGGAGAATAAGAGAAGCAGACACATCACTGACCTCAGGAGTGTGGCTGACCAGCTGATGACAGCCTCTGCCTCCCTCCCCATAAAGGCTGCTGGCACAGGCTATCTGGGGGTTTAGCAGCTGCCACAAAGCCTAAAGACATGAATTCCATACTCAGAACCCATATTTTAGAATGAGACAACTGACTACTTCAAGTTGTACACACACACACACACACACACACACACACACACACACTGAGAAAGAAAGAACAACACACACAGTGCATAAAAGTAACAAATTGAAAACCACTGCTGGATGACGACATGATGTTTAGAGTGCCTTCCTTGGGTATTAAGCTTTCACCTTCTCAGAAATCTGAGTAAATTGTGGATAAAATGCAACGTACAGGTTCAATGCTTGCTCCTTGGCATTTGTGATGACAGGGACTATGACTCTAGCATTAGTTACAGATTGTGGTGGTGGCTGGGGTAGACTCTGTCAGGGATCCATTGAGGAACCTCCCCAAAGGAATAGTGATTTCGCACGGGCTTTCTCCCTCCCCAGCTCCCAGTCCTGCCACCCCCCCCCCTTAACAAGCTGCAGCACTGCTCTTGTGTCCAGGAACAGACAGCTTCATTTCTGAGTTCAAAGCAGTTCCATCCTATCCCTGTTCTTTTCTTTCCCTCCTCTTTACGCTTCATGACTGCTGGCCTGGGGTTTAAAGGTTCTGTTTGTTTTACTTCGGATCTCGGAATTCATGGTGAAGGTCTTGGGCCATGTCCTAACAACCTGGTCAGACTCTGGTTATGACCCTATGAAAGAGGAAAGAAAAAGGTGCATTCTCGAGGCAGTTCGGCTAGTCTAAGTTTTGGGTGTGTGTGTGTCTCCACTAATGGATCTCTGTTGCATTATTTACAAGTAGAGTTGGGGAAACAGGGCAAGACTTGCCTGAAGTTTGTGCTTTGTCATTTGATACACATAAAGTAAAAAGGAACCTGCAAATAGGAACAAGAAAGAAATGTGAAGAATGATATGGACATGAGAGTTCATTTTGATAAGAAAGGTTAGAAAGAAAAGACATTGGTGGGGTGGGAAAGCAAAGTCTTTTTCTACGGCAAGATAAGATTTTTGTCCCAAGAGAAAAGGACAAAACCAGGAAGCTTCATCCCAGGCTGCTCTGATGAAACTGCTAAAGGAAGAAAGTTCCATCTGCCTCTTTAGATTTAGGGCGAAAGCCCAAGGTTCATACGCTGATTGAAGAAAAAAGTCTTGGGCCCATGGCAGTTTCATCAGAGCAGCCTGGGATGAGCGTCCATCACTTTCCATCCCCCTGGGGATCCAGATTTGGACAGAGTGAAACATTAGGAGCTTTCTGTCCATCATCCAGTGCATATGTGTAACCTACCAGCTGGGACCAGAAACAATGCTTAAAAGGGGAGACATAAAAAGCAGACAAGCAGGACGTGGAAATGGCTCCACACCCTCAGCCAATCCTAAGAACATCTCCACAGCTAGCCAGCCCAGGCGCTGAAAGAGCAGTCACCAGCACCTTTGCCCCAGAAGCTCCTCAGGTAAGGTAGGGGACAGGGCACAGAAAGGTTTCATTATAGAAGAACTAATGATAATAGTTGTTCAGGGTAGTCAACACCAAGAAGGAAAACATAATGGACATTCAATCTGCCAAGAAGGAAAACATAATGGACATTCAATCCCCTAAAGCTGTTTGCTTGATTTTTTTTTACTTCCTGATGCTTGGGGTTCACATGGGGCTACAGGCCATCCAAACTAAAAGAAAACCAAAACATTACACATGAAGACTTTTCAACTAAAATTAAGAAGATACTCAAAGTTATAAATACACTAAATATTAGACTTATCTCTATCCAATAATTTAAAGCATATAATTCATACAAAACCAACATTTTCCCTTAATTAATTTACGTAGGCCACTTTTTCCCCTAATGACAAAGAAAAATGGTGTAAAGGTCATTCAGAGAAACCACTCTGCGCTGGGTCTCCATGTTAGTACCTAATGACTGCTTGCCCTAGACAAGATGGTTCCCAGAAAACAACCTGGCTCAGTGGCCCCACCCAGAATTATACAGCCATGACCATCTACTTGTTATGATATGGCAACTCCTTTTTTTTAAGCTTCTGTAACTGGTTTACACAGATACCCAAAGATTGTAGAAAAGACCAGTTTTTGCTTGTGTAGATATTGAAGGTCGTCATGTGGGTTTTGTCTTTAAAAACAACAACAATAACCCAACTCTTCCCCATACTTCTTTATGGCAATCTCAAATTTGGCTCAGAGACCAACAGCCTGCTAGCAGCTAATCAATAAGTCTTTTCATTATAGTTGGATTGAGCCTATGGCCTTTTCTCAGGGGTTGGAAACTCTATGGCAATGGACTATCAGGAGATAATTAACTAGGTATTAATGAAGAAAAATCAAGATAGTCAAAGATAGCTTGACCAATGAAGTCCTCAGGAACTTTACTGTGTTCATCTGTTGCTGGGTTTTCTTTTAGTCTTGGGCTGCACACTTAATTCACAGATTTAATAAAAAATAGCTCAGATGGAGGCAAATCCACAAACCCAAAACAGAGTCTCACTCTCCTGAGTGGCTCTCAGGTCTTCTGAGCCTCATCCCTACCACCACTTCTCAAAGCAAATGTGTTCCTTGGGAACGTGGCTGTCTTCCAACTGCTTAGAGAAAAAGTCCGTCATCGGAGGTGGGCCACAGATATAGAACAGAGTCTCTGCTGACACGTGCTCACTTATCTCCTTCTCCGTTATTCTTCCTTCTACCAAAAAATAGAAGAAACACCAATCAGGCTAGGCATGTTTGCATCTTGACCTACCACAGCCGGTGGCAGAGTTCACTGCAGCACCGTGAGCCTGCCCTATACCACAGAGTTCACCTGCAGAGCCTGCCCTATACCACAGAGTTCACTGCAGCACCCTGAGCCTGGTCTCTCCAGGATTCTCAGACCTATAGCAAGTATCGCAGAAGGCTTTGTCATCAGCTTCTCTTTAGAAAGGGCCCACATTACTTGCCGTTATAGAGATAAAAACTGCCTTCAGCAAAGGAAATGGCCATTTTATTTTAAAAAAAGAAAAATCCTTTCAGGATGGTATGATGGCTCCCTCGGTAAGGTGCTTCTACCAAGTCTGATGACCTGAGCTTGATCCATACACAGATGCAAACAGAGCACTGACCCCCAAATGTTAAATGTCCTCTGATTGTCATACAAACCTATAAACAGGCATGCACATGTGCGCCCCCCCCCCCAGTAATTTAAGATAACTTTAGCTAGGTGTGGTGTCTCAAACCTTTAATCTCAGCATTTGGAGTGGGGAGAGGCAGGTGGATCTTCATAAATTCCAGGCCAGCCAAGACTACACAGTAAGAGCTTGTCTCAAAAACACTAAAACAAACAAAAAGTAAATAAAAAACTTTAAGGACTCCTTCCAAACAGAGAAACTGAGTAATTTAAGTAACTATTAATGGCAAATGGGACCGATTCATCCAAAGCAGGAGTATAATTTGTTTGTATACTATAGGCCTACTAAGAATTGTGAAAATACAATTTTAATATGGGCAGTAGAAACCTATCTATAATAAGTAAATCCAAGTAAGTATTTCTATATGAACTGTCTCAATTCCCCCGGGAATGACATTCCCAGAGGTCACTCCTAACAGTAAAACATCTATGTTTAACCAATTGGCTCGTCTATCCAATAGCTTTGCAGTTAGTCAAAATCTCTTCAGACGACTCACCTGTGATGTATGGCTTCAGTTCTGCACTGATTTGTGTCGTCTGTTTTGTAACATGCAAACTGCAAGTAATCTTCTCAGGAAATTCATTTACTAAATCGAGGATATTTTTCTGAAATGTCAAAACAAATTAGGTCAAACTACAATTTAAAAAAAAGTTAGACCACAGCTGGGTAATGGTGGCAGAGCGTCTTTACATCAGCACTGGCAGTCAGAGACAGGTGGGTCCAAGAGTTCAAGCCAGTCTGGTCTGCACAGCAAGTTCCGGGCCAGTAAGGGCCAATGTCTCAGAACACCACCACCACCGCCACCACCACGACCTCCTCCTCCACCATTACTGTCACCAACCTCTGTCTTTTGAGACAGTCTCATGTAGTCCAGGCTGGCCCTGAACTTGTATATAGCTGGGGTTGGCCACGAATGCCTGATCTTCCAGGCTTTCATGTCAAGTGCTGGGATTACAGGTGTGAGACACCATGCCTGGCCCCAGTGACTTTTCTGTCCCACAGTGGTGATTTGAATAGGAATGACCTCCCAGGCCCACAGTTTGAATACTTGGTTCCCAGTCGGAGGAGCTGTCTGGGAAGGACTGGAAGTAAGGCCTTGAGAGAGGCGGTGCTCATTGGGTGGGCTTTGAGGTTTTAGAAGACTAATTCTATTCCTAGTTAACCCTCTGGGTTTGGCTACTGCTTCAGCACCATGTCTGCCTGCCTGCTGCCCTGACACTCATGGACTCTAACCCCCTGAAACCAGAATCCATGTTAAATGCTTTCTTTTATAAGCTGCCTTGGCCATAGTGTTATATCATAGCAATAGAAAAATAACTAAGATGCCCACCAAGGCTCCTCTTATCCTTCACTTAACTGGAAAGATTAACTGTTCCGGGTGAAATGTGTCAGTTAATTCTCATTTGAGTAAGCCTTGCGAAGCCTTTTACTGGAACTTTTGCAGATAAATCTGAACCTATAGAAGAAAAACTTTTCCCATTTACTTCACGTTTATTTACTTGTGTTGGCATATATTCATTATTTAGTGAGGGACTTCATAGAGACATTGTCACTGAAGTATATCACGCACTTTGGCTATTTTTACCCCATCCTTCTCTCTTTATCCCCATTCAAACCCTGAGTAGTTTCGCTTCTTTCTTGTCCTATATGCTTGTATGAGTCTTCATTGTTTACTTAGCACACAAAGTAATGGGTTTCGTTATGGCATTTTATACACACTTTATTTTGGTTGATCACACCCCCCCCACACACACACACGTCTCTCCTCCTGTCCTGCGATCTCATCTGTATCCTTAAGCTTTAGTGTCCCCTCTGTCCCCATCTGTCCCACCTGTGGTTTATGCTCTACACAGCGTCTCACCCTGGCTCACTGCACCCGTGAACATGTCTCCCTCCTTACCTTGAACAGGAGCTCGCTGGTGTTCTTCGCACTGTAGAACAGTTTTACTGTTCCTGTCTCATAGCTACTCCTTTTGTTTGCCTGGTCTCGGTGGAGATCTGCTGAGTGGCGCAGGATGGAAAGCAGGGGGTTAATCCCGACCCCTCCAGCAATCAACACGAGGTTTCGAGGGGCGTCTGTGGGCTGAGGGTCAAAGAAGAACTCTCCACCCACTCTGAGGGCCACTTCCGAGCCAAGTGTGCACTGAAGCAAGAAAGGAAAGATCCTTTGGTCTGGTGCAGCACAAGTCTCAGCCCACAGGTGCTACTTAAGTGACGTCAGGCTGACCTGCCTCCTTCCAGTATTTAGGACTGTCTGCACAACTTGTTTCCAATTCTCCCAGAGCCTTGGGCCTTGATTCTACTTGTCCAGCATGTAGGCTGCTCGCTATCCCAACTTTATGACTCACACGACAGCCATTCTGGCATTAAGAAAGGACGACTTGCTTCAGAAATTTTGCCATTAACTTCACGTGAGCAGCCAAAAACCGGCAATGGACCGGGCAGGGCAGCCTCTGGGTACGCATCCCTCAGAGTCCTGCTCCATGGTCTGGCCCAGGCTGGCAAAGGCAGGGTGGGACAGGTGTGTCATGGAGCTGGGAAGCGGGCTCCCTTCTCATCTAGTGGTGCAGGCTCTCACGGGCACGGTGGTACCAGCCTACTTCTCCGCTAGTAGCCAGGAAAGCAGCACGAGGCTGTGCATGCAGGCCGAGTCTGACACTGGCCTGTGTGCCTGTATTTGGTGAGGTCACCTAACACAATGGCCTCCAGAGGGATTGCACACTGGTTCCCAATCGGCCAACAGTGTCTCTAACGGGGTGTTCTGGAAACCCATGGCATTTGGAGAGGGCTAGATGTTCCACATAACTGGGGGCTGTCTGGATCTGGCTCCCACTGAACCTATGGTTAAATCTGCAGGAACCGTGTGTGCTATTCTTCACTGGTAGTTCGGAATCAGATGCTGTGGGAATATGCAGAACCCTGAAATTTGCACAGGGCACAAATGAGGCCTCTTTAGGATTCAGGGTGCTAGCTTATCTGTGTGACACTGCTGCAATGCACAGGACTGTCAGCATGACCCTGAGTGACGCACAGGCTACTTGCAGACAAAAGCTGGTTTGTAGTGACTGAGACCTGGGCTGCGGGGAGGACAGAGCAGGCTGCTAAGGACACACAGAAGCCACCTGCTCAGTGTGTGGCGGCCAGGAAGCACAGAAACCCTGTGCGGGTTTTCTCCTTCCCCTCCTTTTGTTTGCTCTGGCCCGCCCCAGCCCACGGATGGTGCTGCCCCCACGTTCAGGGAGTATATTCCATCCTTGATTATTCCTCTCTGGAAATGGCCTCACCCAACACATACAGAGGTGAGCCTTACTAACTAATCTTGTACTCTCTTCCCCATCAAGCCCACAATCAAGATGAATCTGAGCGTGACTCATCTTACAAATAAACTCCGAGACAGCTTTGCACAAATCTAATTCCCCTTAATTTTCCAGAATGTGACAAGTGTGCAGACTATAGCTGGCTGTGTTCACAGTTCTGGAAGACCACAATCTGGGTGGTGACATGAGTGTCCTTCTGTCAACCACACAGCTGCACCGTGCTGTTTTCACAGAAGTCCTCGGACTGCTTCCCTCTGTCTTGTGGTTTCCACATGCCCAAACTTGAGTGTTAAAAATAGATATTCTTTGACTTTGGGTCCCTTTCCTCCCTTTATTCCTCCTTTGTATTTCTGCTAGAGAATTTGAGTTTTGGGTGTTTTTTCAATTTTATGTGATTTTCCTCGGAGGGCAGGGGATTCCTGCTAGCACTGAGTTCTATATGAAAAGATGTCTGGATGACTGTGGCTCTTACAGAAGGCAGTGCTGGGTACGTCTGCCTCCTTCTTGCCTCCCTCTAAAACCAGGGTCCAGGAATTCAGCCATTTGCATAGAAAGCACAGCTTTGACTCATTGCAAGTTCCTGGCACAAATCAACAGACTTAGAGGTAGTAACATAGTACAAGCTTTTGGAGGGCCGGAGCCTTGGCATTCCGTCCTTGACATCACACATACCAGGGGATCAGCAGACACTTTTTGATGGGATTTAATTCAAGGTTCTACAACTTAGAAAAAAAACCCAAGAACAAAACGCCTTGATTCATAAAGTAAGTCCCCTATTGGTAAAGAGCAGTTAAATAAATGGAAATCCTTGACTATGTTAAACACCCAACCTTGACTATGTTAAATACGTAGAGAGTGTTACATGACACTACGTGGGCTTTCCTTCTGACAGAAAGTGTTGGCAGTGAGGGGGCGCTGGGTCAGAAGAAGTTAACTCTAGGCATGGCTGCACTGACGACTTCAGTGCTTAAAAATGCTCCTTCCTCTCAAGCCCTAAGAGTAGAATCCAAAACCTGGAGGCTCTGCCCTTGCTGCAGCCCCGCTCACCTGCAGACACACTTCTCTCTTCTGTCAGGAGAACCCAGGAGCAAAAGAAGCCGAGAAAAAAGAAAGAATTGTGCTTCCTTTATGCTTCTCCAGGGTTGTGTAGCAACGAGAACTACGTATGAACAAAGTCACCTTCGTCTTTTGTTGATAAGTAGAAACTTCTAGTAGAGCACCAGCACGAAAGTCACTACACACGCTAATACGCAAGCAGGCAAAAGGACCTTGTCTTCCTCAGAGCACAGACTAAATCTGAGCACTGACTTTCCACATGCGAAATCAGCAACCTTCCCTCAGCAGCTGGAGCGCAACATGTAACAGCTGTCAGGAACTCCCTGCTCTGTCAAAGCCCATAAAATCAAAGACTTTAAGCACGTTGTCCCTTGTCATCCGAGCAGCCTGCTGCTAACCGTCCACACTAACAGCTCGACCAGAGTAGCTCAGGAGGAAAGGAGCCCTGAAAATGTCTCCAGGACAACACTGGCTTCACAGCAGCTGCTGGCAGCTCCCACTGGGCAGAGCAGCGTAGGCAACAGGGCCCCGTGTGCATCCCACCATGTCCAGCTGCCGAAGGTCAACATCTTTTAATTCCCGTTTCCCAGCCGTACTTTATCTGTAATTCTGTTACCAGTCTCTTGCGGAGAAGTTTAATCTTGGCTAACTTTAACATATCTTATTTTTCCTTTATAGTTCTTCCTCTTGGTGCCAAGTATAACTCTTTCTCTACTTTCAAGTATTTCCTATTCCTGCAGGTCCTGGCTACAAGTGAACTAAATGAGCTGAACACACGTTTAACATGGGCAGATGGAGATGCTCAGATCTCCAACTTTAAAAGCTGAGGGGCTGGAGACATGCTTAGCTGTTCAGAGCACTTGCCCCTCTTACAGAGGCCTCAGGTTCGGGTCCAAACATCCACATGGTGACCCACAACCATGGTGACAGAGAGAAACATGCACAAGGTGCACAAACAAACATGCAGGTAAAATATTCACACCCATAAAATTAAATACATTTAAAAAATGCTTTTCTTTGTTTTTAAAGGCAGTTGCTTACCTTATTGTGAACCCAGACAGCAGGAGGGTGGTTTGTGTATTTGACTGCTAATTCTATTATTCTTTCTTGTTGTAGCAGTTGGGGACTGGAGCAAATTGAAAATCCACCAACAACTGAGACTCCTGGAATAAAGAAATCAACCCTAAAAGGACAGACAAATAAACCATCACTGTTGCAGTAACTAAGAACATTGTCACCATCAGGCAAAAGAAACAAGCCAACAAGATTTTAGTTAGACTAAGGAAATATAAACTACTAACTCAATAAAAGAAGGGACAATCATAACCAATCTTACAAAATAAAAAGAATTCTCCTGAGGAATTTTATAAAGAACTATTATGCTAAAAGCTATTTCATTTAGATGAATCTCATATATTACTAAAAAGACATCAACTACAAAAAATGGCACAAGAAGAAACGGAAAAACCTGGTCAGATCTATATAAACTCCAAGGACTGAATTAATACAACTTCACAAAGAAGAATTCTGCTCCAGACGGCATCACTGGTGAGCTGCAGCACACACCTGAAGTATACTTATCACTAGTCCTTCAGAAACTACCCCAAACAAGAGAGCAAAGACACCAGTCCTTCAGAAACTACCCCAAACAAGAGAACAAAGACATCAGTCCTTCAGAAACTACCCCAAACAAGAGAGCAAAGACACTAGAACTTCCTCTAGTGATGCTGGGAGCACCTTGATATTCAAAGACACTGAAAGAAAACTACACCAGTGGTTCCCAACCTTCCTAACACCGCGACCCTTTAACACAGTTCCTCATGTCATGGTGACCTCAATCATAAAATTATTCTGTTGCTGCTTCATAAATTTATTTTTACTACTGCTATAAATCATTTATATGTGTTTTTTGATGTTCTTAGGAGATCCCTGTTAAAGGGTCATTCAACTCCAAAAGAAGTCATGACCCACAGGTTGAGAACTATTGCTATAGACCACTATCCATTTAAAGAAAAGAAAAATTCCAAGAATACAAAGTTGGCTTAACATCCTTCCTCATCAGTTTTTTGTTTGCTTTGTTTTGTTTTGTTTTGAATCAACTTCAGTGCTAGGTTCAATGAGAGACTCTTCTCAAAAAGATAAGGTATCCAGGTGTGGTGTGCACGCCTTTAATTGCCGCACTCGGGCAAGGGGTCTCTGAGCATAGGCTAACGCCCTTGCTTTGTGGGAACACCAGACCTTGAGCAGAGACCCACTTCCCCTTCTGCCTGGGAGTAGGCAGCTGTAAGACAATGTTTAGTAAAAACATGTTTACTAAAAACGATACAATAAGTTCCTGGAAAAGGCCTTCCCACGGAAACCGCCCTGACCTCGACCTTGTCTAAAGACTAACCGCACCTTCAAAAACCCACACACATCCACCTCTGGTGTCAGAGCAGAACCAGCCAGGGTAGAGGAGAGAGCAGAAGCTTCTCTGGTGGGAGCTTTTCTTAGGAGGTTTTCTTGAACTTTTTTGGAGCCTGTTTAAAGTTTTCTTTATATCATTGAATGAGTCTCTGTGTTGTCAATCCCCGACACCCTCCGCACATTCTCGGACACAGGCCGAGAAGCAGACGTGACAATTGGAGGTCCCACTGAGATCGTGAAAGCGAGGTAAGTGGACGGGGTCGTCCCTTTTGCCAGCCAGGGACAGATGGAGGAAAATAGGAAAAGAAACAATGGGAAATAGTCCCTGGAAGTTTAAATTACAGTATCACGTAAAAAAGTTGCTTGAAGAACAGGGGACTACAACCATGGCAGGCTTTTTAAAATGGATTGAACGAGGGAGCCCATGGTTCATTACTGGGGAAGGCTTAAATGTCCCAGATTGGGAGGATGTTTGCTATGATATTCAGAGAGCCAGGTGTTGGTGGCATATACCTTTAATCCCAACACTCAGGAGGCAGAGATAGGAAGGAATGAGGCCATCCTGGTCTATAGAGCAAGTTCCAGGACAGCCTCCAAAAGGATAGAGAGAAACCCAGTCTCAAAAAAAAAAAAAAAAAAGGGTAAAATAAGAAATAAAATAAAAAATCTCCAGTCTTTCGCCTGATCCACTGAGGTCAGGAAAGTAAGGGGACCCTGAGAGATCGCCCTCAGTTGAGGGGGTGGATTGGATTAAATCTCCAGGCCTTCGCCTGACACCAAGGTCAGGAAAGAAAGGGGAACCTGAGAGATCACCCTAGGTTGGAGGGTGGATTGGATTAAATCTCCAGGCCTTTGCCTGACACCAAGGTCAGGAAAGAAAGGGGAACCTGAGAGATCACCCTCAGTTGGAGGATGGATTAAAAGTGGGTAAATTGAAAATTGGTAACGGTTAATAAAGGAGGTACTGGTATTAAGTAAAAGAAAAAGAAAAAGACAAAAGTATATGGAATGGAAAATTTTGTTTACATTTAAGTTCTATTTTGTGAGTCATCTCTAAAAACTTTTGGCCAAAAGCCTGGCCTCTCCACCTTGCATCTACAGAGTTACAAGGAGTAGGTACAGCTGTACCCCATGACTGTAGCTCAAATGGGGGCATGATAAAGAACATACAGGACTTTTTAACCCTTTTAGTTCAAGGATTGGCTGGAGTTGTTCTTTTACATAGATTTCAATTAAGGGAGCTTCATTGCAACAGACTAATCATGACCTAGGGAAAAAGGATGACTGAAAGATGCATGTATGTTCTGAATGTATGGTGTGGCCACACCAGTATGTATGAAATGTGATTGTGAATGCGTGAGTGTGAACTGCTTATATGATTAAAAGGATACTTAAATCCCTTCAAAAATAGTTAAGAAGCTACCTAGATTGCTTTATATATAGCCAAAAGGAACATCCAGCCAGTCTGTTAATGTTTTAACAGAAAAATTTAAGATGCAAATGAGGCCTTGTCAGCTAGTGAGAGCTCTACAGGTTAGATTGGGAAAGACTGCTCACAGACTTCCAATAATTTTCAAAAGTTATTTGGACACAGTATAGTTTACAATCTTTGAGTGATTTTTAGAAGTTTTTGGGAAATATTCAAAGGATATGTCCTTTTTAATGGGCATCTACAAATAATCTAAGTAGTAAGCCCAATTTACCTAAATAGTTTACCAAGGAGGGTAGACAAATCCTTCTACTGTTATGGTCCAGCTTCAACAGTTCAAAAAAGAAAATTTTTTTTTAGAAAATAAAAAAGGGGGAATAATGCCCCCAGTCCCCACATGACTCATCAAATAATACACTCCTCATTTAAAAATTTTATAATGTGAATGCCAGTGAGCTTCAGACAGTTTCTGGCATGATGGAACTTGAGCAACCATTGCTCAGGTCAAATGGAGACATCCATACACTAGACAGTGGAGAAGACCCTAATTTGGGGTCGAGGGCATGTTTGTGTTTTCTTGCAGGAAAAGAATAAAGCTTCGGCAGCTGTCAGACCATTTAGTGAGATACATGGAGCAGAGAAAAACTGGACCTGAGACCATGGGAGCCTACCTAAGCCAGTTTGAGTGAGATCTCCTAAATCAGTGTTCCTGACCCTTGATGTCATCGAATCTAGAGCCCAAGAAAGAAAGAAAACAGTCGGTTCGAGATTTCCAGTTTCTCAACAGACCTGCTACATCAACCTTCCGGACCCATGAGTTTTCATCGTGAAGCCAACAGAGAAAAAAGGACCCATTTAAAGCATTTGGACATTGGTATGGACTATGATGAGTGGCAAAAGCCTCTTTTCAGTATTTGAACAGGACATGGTCACTTGAAATATCAGACTTGATGGTTCCTGTTTCTGGAATCACGACTAGGCCAGTGTATTTTTCTGGAGAAATGCAACTTGTCCTAATGCGACAACTATTGTTCATATTTTTCATAATGCTACATGTGTAACATCAATGATTGTGCCCAATGTATCTGTGCAAGTGCACTTTCTAAATGCTTTCCTGAGCAGATCTTGAAACGATTGTAAACTTTATCAAATTGTAAATGTAAATCACATGCAGGTTACCCTTGTAACAGAATGTAAATCACGTGCATATTACCCTTGTAACAGATGAAGGCTGGTAGAATGTTATGGCCCAGATCTGGTGATGGTTAGGTGCTATGTCAATGGGGGTCCTGGAAATGGTGGCAGTGGCAGTAGGCATTCTGGCTTTATGCCGAGCTCAAACGTGCCTTGTTCCAGAGGCAAGAGATCCGTAACCAAGTATTGCTTAGCTTAGCCCATGGCAATCCCGATAGCCATGAAGGTTGGTTACAGATGATTAAAGGTTGGGGTGTCTCCGACAACGGGCAACCTGTGGGGAAGACCCCTCCCACCTAAGACAGGGGTTCAAGGTCCCCCAAGGACGGGAAAGGGAGGGTGACCCTACTTGACCTAAGCCAGGAGTGCCTCATTTGAAAATAAAAAGGGGTGAATTGTGGGAACACCAGACCTTGAGCAGAGACCCACTTCCCCTTCTGCCTGGGAGTAGGCAGCTGTAAGACAATGTTTAGTAAAAACATGTTTACTAAAAACGATACAATAAGTTCCTGGAAAAGGCCTTCCCACGGAAACCGCCCTGACCTCGACCTTGTCTAAAGACTAACCGCACCTTCAAAACCCACACACATCCACCTCTGGAGTCAGAGCAGAACCAGCCAGGGTAGAGGAGAGAGCAGAAGCTTCTCTGGTGGGAGCCTTTCTTAGGAAGTTTTTCTTGAACCTTTTTGGAGCCTGTTTAAAGTTTTCTTTATATCGTTGAACGAGTCTCTGTGTTGTCAATCCCCGACACCCTCCGCACGTTCTCGGACACAGGCCGCGCAGCAGACATGACATTGCTTCATTCAGCTCCCCTCTCGTAGAACAAAGTCTCGTGCGTAGAAATGCATGGAACAGATCAGGTGACTGCAGTGGGGTCTCCATTGAACCCGTCTGCAGACACAACTGTCAAGCTGTGGTCCCACAGACCAGCACTTCGCTGTGTTTGAAACTGGACTACTCATGGTAGGTTCCATACACGACAGAGGAGGATATGGCCACAACCAAGAAAGGAATCACGTTGGCCATGCCCAAACGGAAATGACCCAGAATTCCTCTCTCCTACTGAGGGATAGGTAGCCACAGAAGTCTGTTCCAGAAGAAAATATGCCTTTCATCTGACAGAAAACGGAAACGCTACTCACCATTGGCCAGCCTTAAAGGAGAAGTCTTTATCAGCGACGAGCAAGCGGAGGCTCTTCACCGTTGGGGACTCATGGGCAATTTCACACACCTTAGCCGCAGCCACGACCTGCAACAAAGAGATTCAGGACTAGAAACATGGGTTTGGAAAACTGCCCAAGGCAAAGAACGCACTGCTTTGCTCTGCCCTTCATCAGGTAGGTAAGAGAATGAACTTTCTGAGACTTCCTACAACACTATTTTATTCTGAATACGAAAATCAACCTTTACAGGGACTGTGTAACCAGCATCTATCCAGGTGCTGGACTAGGCACCCTGGAGAGTTCTATGGGTGGGATGTCCTTGGTAGCCCTGCTCAGCATCTAATGTCCCCTTCATTAGTAGGCCAGGTGAGGCCACAGGTGAGGCCACAGCTGTTTCTGAGTATGGCGTCCATGGCACAATTACAGCAGATGGTCACAGAAAGCAGCAAGCACTTTTTAAAGAGCAAAGACACAGAAAGCTGGGTTTGTGCTCATGTGCTTTCTTCCTGCCTTTGTTTTGTGGGTCAGGTCTCACTTTGTAGTCCTGGCTGGCCCGCCTGGGGCTATGTGGATCAGGCTGGCCTTGAACTCACCTGCCCTCCCTCCAGAGTGCTGTGATTAAGGTGTGTGCCACCATGGTACTGTGCTTGTACACTTATTTAAGTTTTCTCTAATTAATTATATTTTCCCAAAACAAGCAGCTCATGAGCTTAAAGCAAGAACCCCACAGAGCCTTTTCCTCCCGGGAGTTTTGGGAAGCACCACTCTCAATGATGCATTTGCTTTCTGAAAACTTCCAAACTGGGCGGCTTAGGAACCAGTCAGTGAAGGTAGTCCATGCCTTAGCACCCACCAAATGTAAAAACGTCTTCACTGCCTTTAGACCACCTCTGTTCCATACCCCTATTCCTCTCCTAAGTCTGGAACACTGTTCTAGAGTCAAAGACAGACAGGTTCCTCGCAAATTCCCTATGCTCACCTCCACTGTGGCCATGGGCAGGAGCCGATCAAATGCAGTCCCTTCAATGGAGGCCCCAACCAGCCCCTCCAGGGGATGCTTTAGAAGCTTCCCACCCTGATGCTACCTCATTTTGGCCTTTTCTTCAACAGGACTTCCAGGTAAACTCTCAATGGGAGATCACTTTTAGCAATTCACTAGAAAAGTCTCACTGCCTCAAAAGAGCTCCTAAAATTTTCATCCTTTGTCCTTTGCTGTAAAATCCCTCGTCTCTCTTTCTCTGCATTATTGCTAACCCCTTCCTCCAGTTTTGGAGAACAAATGGGTGATTTTCCATGACAGCCCCAATGCCAGCACCCTTTAATAAAAGGCAGGGTCTCTCTACATGGCACAGGCTGGCCTGGAACTTGCTGTCCATCTACCCAGCACAAGGGTTATAGACGTGGGCCCCACCTGTGATCTGCACCGTTCCAGCACGAGGGTTACAGACGTGGGCCCCACCTGTGATCTGCACCGTCCCAGCAGCTGCCAGTCAGGCCTTGGCTAACACTCAGTCCTTCTCCACCCTCCTGCCTCATCAGGATGGTACACGATGCCACTGGCTTTATCTTGGGCAGCTCAGAAACAAACTACAGAAATAAGCAGAAGATGGCGGCTGACAGAATGGACTCCACAGTGAGACAGCCCAGAATTTAACCTTGGCAACACCACCTACCACCATGTAACTAGGGCAAATGTCCTAGCTATCTTTAACCAGTAACACCTCTGCCTCGGAGTGTTGTTGGGGACACTAAAGCAGATAATACAGACAAAAGCACTTCTTTCTAACGCTGCTGGCCCACAGAAAGTCTATATTGCTTGTTACCTACCTTATTGCATTACTTTACATCATACATGGCAGTTTATCCATTTATTATCATATATGCCGCTGCACCGCACATCACGTGGGTGACAAGAACCTGTATAGTGTGGTGCACTGGAATCGTATGTCCACCCTAACCTCTCACTTATTTTATGGGTGCAAACTACGAAGTCTGTGAAGCATGAGAAACCTTGCCTTCCAGACCTTCCTCTACTTTGGCAATGAGCTTCCTCAGCCTACACAATCTTCCTGTCCTTGTTGCTCTTCTGAACCACAGGTAACCTGGTTCCTGCTCTCCCAGGCTGGCAGATGTCCTGAAAATCACACTCAGGGTCCAGCAGCAGAGACAGACCCCCAGGTACACACGTCACGGTCCCCGCCTGAGTGTGGTCAGCTCCACCCTGACATGTGGGGCGGCTTTTCCTCAGGCCTCTGCTGTGCTCTGACCTGGTGCTTCTCCCTCACTGGCTCACTGCGCCTTCTCCCACTCCCAGGCAGGCCCTCCTTGTCCTCTCCTTCTTTCCCGCTTCTCACGGGCTTACAGTTACACTCCCCATGGGTAAGGAGAGCCAATGCCTCTGGAACTGTTCTTCCAGCACATACTAGGAGCTGAGCTCATTTAAGTGCATTCATTCATTCCATTGATATTCCATTGTCTCGAGACAATGCTGTTATTCTTTCCCTTGCTGGTTTAAAAAAAAGTAAGTTTCTGTATTAGTTCAAAACCACTGTCTAAGAACTGAACTAGGATCCAAACCCAGGTCACCATAGCACTTCATCACCTGACAGCACTTCCCGAGTAGTCAAGTCTCTTGCATGTAACACAGAGCCCACCACACACTTGCCCAGTTCCTGGCACCTGAGCACGGTGTCTAGACCTGGGTGCCCTGTGACACCAGCTTCTCTGCCCTCCTGAGATGTCACTCTAGGGCTGCGACTGTACTTGTTCTACAGACTACAGAGCGGAAGGTGAGACCACGGGAACTGGTCCAGTTCTGCCACAGCTCGGCGTGCGGATCTGTTCATCCCAAGTCCAAGGACAACCCCTGCTCCATGGCTGGGAGGACCCGCTGGAAGGGACTGGGGTGACCCCGATGCTGCACACCGTTGAGGTGCTGGCCCCAGAGATCACCTAGTTTCTCCAGTCCCTCCTATCTACTCCCACTTCCATTCTGTCGGGGAGATTACAAATTAGAAATAAAAGGGGGAATTGAAAATGAAGACTTTTCCTCCCCTAAACACAGCAATGCTATAACTGTAACCCTGTAATTGTCTGACTCTGGGGCATAAGATGCTTTCTTTTTTTTTTTAAGGTTTATGTATTCATGTATTTTATATATCTGAGTGCTCTGTCTCCATGCACACCAGAGGAAGGAATCTGATTCCATTACAGATGGTTGTGAGCCACCATGTGGTTGCTGGGAACTGAACTCAGGACCTCTGAAAGAACAGTCAAGTGCTCTTCACTGCTGAGCCATCTCTCCAGCCCCCAGACGCTATGCTTTCAAGTGCACCATCAGAGCTGACATTAACCTTTCTTTGTCCCAAGCTAGGGTCAAAGGAACCTCCCCCAAACTCTCACTACTTCTGCCCAAGAGATCCTGAAATGGTGACTCTAATTCAAACACTGGAACCTATGGGCCAAACCTCAGCACTTTGGTGAGTCATGTTTGACTGGACACAGCAAGCCTGATATGCTTGCATCCTTCCATGGCTGTGTCCCTCCTCAAAGACGCTGTTTAGTGATGAAATTGCTTACTACCTGGACCTTTGAACAAAGTTTTCCAACATCAGCACTGATTATCTACCCACTTACACATATCACAAAAAGAATGCATACAAGTTTGCGACAGAATCATTTTTCTTTACGACCAGCAGGATTTCACTTTCATGAAGATCATTAACAAGCTTCGTATTTACACAATTAGCACTTTGTTTTGTATGTTGAGAAATATTTTCAGACTTATCAATGGGAAAAGTATAGCTTCCTACAAACTTACTCTATTGAACTAGATTTCCATCTCAGAAAGACACCCATCAACATGGAGGGGAACAACGATCACATTTAGCCCCAAGCAGCTCTCTAAAGGAGAACGAAGTTTTCAAAGTAGGGCCTAACATTCCTTTATGTTACAGTGTCTCCTGGTACTAAAACATAAAACTATGGCGATAATACCATTTCTGATCACAGCTGTAGACGTGCATAAAAACAGGTTTTTTCGTGGCTTACAGAGACTTACAACACTAAGCTAAATACAGCTGAGTATGTGTAAAACAACTCAGAAGCTAAGGCAAGTACCCACTGCGTGTTTTAAAGTGGAAGCAGGGCTACTCACTGAGGTGAAGGGTGAGGATCCTCTATCTCCCAGGCCTCGGCACCCTTCAGCGGGCAGCTTAGCTTTCTATAGTGTGAGTATGATTGACAGTCTGCAGGGGAAGGACAGGGAGCTTGTCCACCTTCCTGTCTCAGCTGTCAGTGCTGCTCTGACGAGCTAGGAGGTGTTTCTAAAGCAGGACAAACAAGGACTTTGAGACATGATGACAGAACAAGAAAAAGAAAACAAGGTAAGCCATTCCTAAGGTGCAGGCTCTACAAGTTCCCTCTCCTACAGCCCTCGATGTCCTATGAGGAGCTCCCTCTCCTACAGCCCTCAGTGTCCTATGAGGAGTTCCCTGTCCTACAGCATGCGCTCAGTGTCCTGTGAGGAGTTCCCTGTCCTACAGCCCTCAGTGTCCTGTGAGGAGTTCCCTGTCCTACAGCCCTCAGTGTCCTGTGAGGAGCTCCCTCTCCTACAGCACGCCCTCATTGTACCTGTGAGGGGGGCGCTAGTCATGGCTGTGCTCTCTCTCTAAATAGCCCACTCATGCCAAACTTAGTGGAAAACCTTAGTACTGCTCAACCACTGCTTTCAAGTTAGTTATCATATCCTCTGCTTAGGAAATTCCAGAACAGGAAGATAAAGTCTCCCTGACTGCCCCACCGTGCCCCAAGGATACAGACCTCCCGTCGGAGGGCACTTGCGGTTCTCTCCAAGTGATCAGTTTTTCTTTTGGATTTCATTATGCTTTTTAAAAGAAGGTAAAATTAGATTAGTAAGCATTATTCTCATAAAACCTTAAAACTACCTTCCCCTGCCAAAAAATGAAACCAAAACCAAAAACCATGGCTATCAAAAATACGATTAACTGTGAATTCTACAAAATACTGACATTCTGCCAGTGCTAAGTTGCACACCGAGTGGAGTTCTGATCGGATGGCATGCACACCGGAGCCTGGATGCTGGCTCTCCTGAAGGACCGCCCAAGCCATCAGCAGATCAGGTTTCGAGAACCAACCCCAGGGACAGCAAAGGCTGACAGCTCACCTGCTGAGAGAGAGGTGACACAAAGGGCTGGCTGTCCACCTCCACAGAGCAGCCTGAGTGAAGATGGCTCCCGTAGTGCCTCGAGACAAGCCAGGAACAAAGACAGCGTGGGCCATGGTGCTCCTGGGCAAACGTAACTGAAATTTAAAATGATTGAAGATGAGGAACGCCAGACTATGTTAGGGGCAGGTGCAAGGACTGGCCTCAGTGCTTAAGAGCACTGGCTCTTCTTCCAGAGGACCTGAGTTCAATTCCTAATGGCCACGTGGCAGCTCACAACCATCTGTAACTCCAGTTCCAGGGTGTCTGATGCCCTCTTCTGACCCTTGCAGGTACCAACACATGGTACACAGACATACACACAGGCAAAACATCCATACACACAAAAATTAAACACCTGCCCACATAGTAGATGGAAGAAAATCAATTCCTACAAGCTGTCCTTTGACTTCTATGTGTACCCCAGCTTCCCTCATAAGGAATGAAAGAAATATACTGAAAATTTTAAATAAAATTGCTTCAGGATCGGGGCTGAGTATGGAAGCACATTCCTTTAGTCCTACCACTCTGAGTTTGAGGCCAGCCTGATCTACACATTGAGTTCCAGGACAGTCAGGGTTACATAGACCCTGTTTCAAAAAACAAAACAGAACAAAGAGCATGTATTACTCTTCTAGAAAACTCAATTCCCAGCAACTACATCAGATGGCTCACATCTACCTGTAACTCTAGCTCTAAGGATCCAACTCCTCTGGCTTCCACACTCACACCACACAGAACATATAATTAACAACAGAAATAAGTCTCCTTTAAGAATTATACTTATAAAAGCTTAAGGTTCCTAAATATTTAAAACAAAGAGATACCACTATTTATAACAGACCAAGCTAGCAACTATCCAAAAGACCACAAATAACAGTAAATGAAGTGTGACATATCCATGCACTATGCCTAACGTCAATAACAATGGGTACATTTCACTTACACACAGTAATATTCAATTATAGGCTGCAGGTATCAAATGGCATGAAAGCAGCTAGACTCCAAAGAGCACATATTCTTTGACATCAACTACACAGTGTGCCAAGACAGAGAAAACCACCTATAATGTTAGAAGCCAGTCTGTTAACAATGTAATTTCTTTATATGGATGCTGAATGACTAGGTAGGTCCATTTGTAAAATCTTCAAGCTATCCTTGTAGCTGGACATTTCTATCTGTATGTTATACTTCGATAAAAACAAAGCACATTTTACTTTTGTTTTGGTTTTGTGAGACAAGCTTACTAAGTTCCCTGGGCTGACCTTCAATGCATTGTGTTCCCTGATGTGGCCTCATACTTAAGCTCCTCCTGCCTTGTACTGGGGTTTCAAGCATGTGCCATCACCCCCAACATCACTTTATGATTTGAAATCACAGGACGATTAGGTAGAGTACTGATTAGGAGTCAGGTCACCTGTTTGGCTCCCATACCACTTCCTTGTGCCATTTAAAAAAGGCTTCTTAGCCTAAAACACCCACATTCTCCATGCTTTACTACCACACTGGTGAGTTCTCCTGCAGTGGCTTTGAGAATAAAATGTGAATAAAGCATGTCTTTCCCAAGCATTGATTGTAGTAAGTTTAGTGTTAGGAGAATATTCACGCGAACAGTGAAGGTTTTCGTTCTCATTTGATGAAAACTACTAAGGGCCAAGCTGAAGCAGACACTTGCCTCAGCAGTGCAGCTTTGAAGACAGTTTCAGAGAGCTTAGGTTCTAATAGGTAGAGGTAAAACTAAATAAATTAATACACCAGGTGGTGACTTAAATCAGTTTCTCAAAAGCCACAGCCCCCCAAGTAGTCGTCAGACAGATGGATTTCTTCTTGTCACGGTGCAGTTCAAAGAGTTAAGAATAAACATGCTATTGGCTATTTCCCCCACGAAAGACTGCCAGTCACTGAAAGCAAGTGAGCAGAACTTACTTTAGAATCCCATGGGATTGATTCTGGGCGTCCTCACCTGGCTCACACAGTAATTTGGTCCCCGTACTATACTAAGACCTCTGGATTCACATCAGCTGGACACAGAGAAGTTTTCCATACACCGAAATTCCCACACCACAAAGTTCCTACAGCAGCAGAGACAATGATCTGGTTAAGTACAAAGAAAGAAAACAGAAAAGGCCCCACCAAGTCTAACTTGCACACGAAAGCTCATTTAGATAAAGTGTGAAGCCCAGTGTAGAGTGTTTATTTGGCACACACACAGGCGTGGGTTTGAGCCCCAGCACCCGACTGAAGGGAGGGCCCTCATTACAATCAGAGGTCCTCACTCTCACTCCCTGCCATTAGTCCTTCCCCCTATCTGGACGTTTCTTTCTACCCCTCGTCTGCTGCTCCCTGATCTTCCACACCTGAGTCAACTCCTGCGACTTAGGTTGGCATCCTATGAAACACCCTCCACACTGCTGCATCCTCCCTGTCTGGCTCAGGCAGTTTCCCTTATGGTTCCGCTGTGCTGAAGAAGGCAAATCACAGTCAACAGCGAGAAAGATGACACTTATATGACACTTAGGGCCAAACTCCCTGCTTTTAAGTTCATCCTCCAGTGAAAGGTGGACATTATTTCACTTAACATTCTAGACAACAACTACTAACATAGATGTTTTTACAATACAGTACACCTTTAGTGACTATGCTGTTTAAAACAATCTACTTCTCTACTCAACTGGAAAACATGAAAGCTAATTTTTAAAAGCCGTTCTTTTGTTAACAGTACCATGACTAAGAGTGTCACCTACTGGCAAATGAAGGCATTTTTGTAAAATGGTATTCAATTTGCCTTCCAAGTTTTATTCCAGTCCTTAAACTCTGTGTATGTGTGTGAAAGAGAGAGACAGAAAGACAGAGAGACAGAGACAGAGAATTTATTTAAAACAGTCTAGCTCAGTGTGGAGAGAGACAGAGAGGGACAGAGAGAGAGAGAGAGAGAGAGAGAGAGAGAGAGAGAGAGAGAATTTATTTAAAGCAGTCTGGCAAGCTGGCTCAGTGTGTTAAGGCACCTGCTGCCAAGCCTGAGGCTGCGCAAGAGACAGGTCCTGACTATAACTAAAGGGATGGTTACAGGGGTGGCAGAAGAAAAAAAAGAGTGAGTGTGTTGGGAGGACATGAGTAGTGGCGTCACAGGGTGATGGTCACTGAGCGCAGAGCAGACACCAAGAGGCAGTCCGGCAGACTCGAGGGTGAAAACACTGCAGCAGACACAGCAGACATCTCGGCAAGAACAAAACCCAAGAAAGGAACGAGCCCAGGAGTTAGAAGCGCCAGGGCCATGGTGCCTGGAGAGCAGGCTGGGTGACAATGACAGGAAGCTGTCTTACGTGTGCCCTGGGTCACAGTAGCCAAGCCATATCCCTACCCACACCTGCACCCATTTCTGCACACTCGAGGATGGCTCGTTAAGAACTCAAGATGGTTTCCAACCGTGATTATCAAACTAAAAACAGACACTGGAAAATCAGTTTCCCTCCTGTGTCCCAGAGGCTACCTGGGAAGTATTTGTATTCATAAAGATAGAAGACTTCCACAGGATTCCTCCTCTGCCCAGGCAGGCTACAGTTAACCATCAACAGGCTCCAAGTATCTCCCAATTGCTGTGTAGATCTCCAATTATGCAACAAGAAAGTGAAGTGTTTGAAACAATTTTCCATACACTCGCTTAATATAACTTCTGGACTTTACCCCCGAAAGACTTCCCTGCCTTTAGGTTTGCACACTTTAAAAGGGCTTCAAAACGTGGTACCCTCTCAATGGGCACAAAACTGGTAACTTATGCCAACTGTATGTGCTTAACCATTAAGTATAAGTTACAGAGATATAAACTACATAAGCTATACATGGTTGCTGAACTCCTAAATTCCCACGCAAAAGAATGCTAAAGGATATTCTCACAGAAAGGAAGTAGGAAGCAAAGTATGTAAATTCCCAACTCCCAGAGCCATCAAGTCAGGCTCTGATTCCGGATCCTGGTCGGCCCCAGTGGTTTTGTTCACTACACTGCACTCCCCCAGTGAGGTCTGAGTAGCTGCCTAGTAATACAGCGATGCTCCAAAGTCCGGGGTTGTAACCAAAACAGGCCCAGCGCTGCTTTCAGGACAAAGCGGTTTCCATTCGCGCTTCGCTTCCAGCTTCCAGGAAGCGACCGAATGCTGACAATACCGCCAGGAATATCATTCCTTTTATCAAATAAATAATTTATTCCTGGGCTTTGGAGAAAACCAGGCCCTTCATTTTATGACTAGGCATGTAATGTTGGGCAAGGCGCCCAGTCTCTGAATCCGAGTTAAAGAGAAATAAAATGGGGTTCTGAACCCCAGGGTCAACAGAATAACATTTAGTGCACAGGTGGCCCGCCAAAACCCCCAATAACTAAAAGTGATGTTACCACTGCTCCTGCACCTGTCACTGTAGTGAATACTGAAAACAAGGCTAGAACTTGTCCCAGTCTCACACATCTTGGTCCTCTACAACCCAGGTCAGGGAGGCTGAAGGTGGCAGGCGAGACAGGCAGCGTGGTACCTGCAGGCAGGAAAGAGTTCCAGGTCGCCTGAAACGCAGCTCCAGGAGCGCTGAGTCGACCCCCGCTGTGAGTCCCCGAGCCCCAGTGACCAGGCGGCCCCCAGCCAACTCTTTAAAGGTTCTGCGAAGTCAGCGAAGGAGAAGGAGACGCCACCGGCAAAGGCATCTACTCGTTTGCAGCCCCGGCCCCGGAGTGACGGCGCAGCAGTGTGAGCGAGCCCTCATCCCATTGGTCACTGCCGCCCAGGGGGCGGAGCGCTGCGGAGGAAGCGCCGCCTTCCCAGCAGTAAGTCCCGCCTATCTTTGGCTGTCTCCATGGCGACCGCGACCCGGTCACCCATTTGGCCGCGGCAGCCGGAGTCACGTCATCGCCTGTGCGCCCTCCCGGAAGTGATCGTCCCGGGTCCCGGGGTGGGACCAGGAAGCCCAGGCCTCGCCGGCGCCGGCGGAGTCAGGCGAACCGATGCGGCGTCGGCCCGGCCACCATGGCTGTGTTTCACGACGAGGTGGAGATCGAGGACTTTCAGTATGACGAGGACTCGGAGACCTACTTCTACCCCTGCCCCTGTGGGGATAACTTCGCCATCACCAAGGTACCCTTGGCGACTCTTGAGCTTGCGCGTTCTCGCTTCCGGTGCCCCTGGGCGCGGCTCCGGCCCCACACGTGTCCGTTCCCCATCCCCGCCCCTGAAGCCGTCGCGAGCTGTCGGGGGCGCTCGGTCTGCACGCCCCAGCCCCGCCCACCACGAGCCTTCGCGGGAATGTCTTTCTGTTTTGTGCCCCGGGGATCCGTGTAGAGGCGATCGATCGAGCCAACCTCCTCTCCCGGGTGGTTTTCCCGGTGACTCCTGGGGGGATTCTTGGTGCTGTTGCCCAGCCCGAGACTGGCACCGAGACGTGGGAGCGGTTTGAGGGACGATGCCGAAAGGGAGGCAGTGCTGACCGTCCGCTGTCTGTCTGGTTTCTGTCACAGGAAGATTTGGAGAACGGAGAAGATGTGGCGACGTGTCCCAGCTGCTCTCTCATTATCAGAGTGATTTATGACAAGGTAAGGGATGCATTGCAGGGCGTTGGTGGTGCGAGACACCGACATGGACCTAAAGCAGCCTGTCTGAGAGATAAGTTCAGAAGAGTGTTGGGATTTGGGGATGGGGGGGGGTGGGTGTTGCTGTTGTTGTTGGTTTGTTTGGTTTTTTTGTTTTTTTTTTTTGAGAACAGAATCTGTATGCAACTCAGGCTGCCTTTGCATTCCGAGTGCTGGGATTAAAGGTGTGCGCCACCACGCCCGGCCTAGAAGAGAATTTCTTAATGTTGTGCTAGATCAAGGGCTATTTTTAAAAAGCTTTAAAAATTGTTAGGAAGGGCTGGGCAGTGGTGGCGCACGCCTTCAATTACAGTGCCCGGGAGGCAGAAGCAGGTGGATCTTTGTGAGTTCAAGGCCAGCCTAGTCTACAGAGTGCATTCAGGGACAACCAGGGCTGTTTACACAGAGAAACCCTGTCTGGAAAAGCCAAAAACAAAAAGTCAGTAAGTAGCTGTGTGGTTCAAGTTTAAATTATGTAACTTGTGTTCACCTTGGAAAGAGCAAGAAAGAAATTGTTTTGTAATGAAAATGTAATGTGTATTGAAAATGACTTAGTCAGGGATGAAAATATGAAGATTATTTTAATTGATGTTTTTTCTTTTGACATCTCTCTTGTATTTAATACTGAGGTAAGTTTGTTCAGCCCTCTAGTACATTTAGAAAAGACTCCCATTTTATTGCTTGTGAGGTTAATGTGTATAATCTACATTATCTTGTTTGAGATATAATTCCTAGTTTCGATTTTACAGTTTTATGTTAAATTCGTGTTCCTTTGTACCCAATAAGGATGACAACAGAAAAAAAGTCAATGCTTTCACCCCCCACCCAAAGTGCAGTTAGTGCTGCTTTGGAGTCTTAAGTAAGGACTTTCACAGTCTTAAAGTGCAGTTAGTGCTGCTTTGGAGTCTTAAGTAAGGACTTTCACAGTCTTAAGGACAGACTCTCAAATGAGTGCAGGGGAAGCTGTACCAAAGTCCAGATCTTTGTGAGAGGCAGACTTCAGGTTAGACAATAATGCAGAAATTTAGTGATTCATTCTTGCATTAAAGTGGTCTCTAGAACAAAGAGTAACAGGGACAGACTAGGGCCTGACTCCTTGGGGGTTCACGCTGTAGGTGATGTGTAGTAACTTTGAGAGTGCTTATGGTAGCTGACGTAAACAAGGATACAACATCCAGGTATGGTGGCCTTCACATTTAATCCCAGTACTCAGGAGGCAGAAGCAGGTGGATCTCTGAGTTTGAGGCCAGCCTGGTCTACAAAGCAAGTTCCAGGATGGCTGGGACTACATAGAGAAACCCTGTGTTTAAAAAACAACAACAACAAAATCTGAGACTGAAACTCATTTTCAAAGTAGTTACTATTATAGTTCTGTGTTGGAAAATACAAAAACCTATTAGTACTCATTTAAAGAAGTTACATATTTGAATGACCAGATATTGGATTGATTAATGCAAAAGCTTAAAAGATGTGACATGTTTATTTCTAGAAAGTGGTTTCTTTCTAGCAAGATGGACATATTTATTATACACTGCTTATTAAATAATAAATTTAGAGCTGAACTTCGACATACACTTAATTCTAGTTCTAGGGCTGCTTCCAGTTGTTGGAACAAAAAGTAAGCGCTATTGGGGCTGGAGAGGTGGCGTAGTGGCTAAGAGCTTCTGAAGAGGACTGGAATTCCGTTTCCATCGCCCACACTGGTGGCTCACAGCCACCTGTAACTCTAGCTCTAGGGAATAGGATACCCTCTTCTTGACTCCATGGCGCCCCACACACGCGGGGTATATGCATACACATAAGTGTCTCCAGCTGTGTCAACTGGGATGGCTACTAATGCCTAGTGGGTAGATAAAGGGCCCTGCTAACATCTTATAATGGACAGTTCATCCTGGACAAGTTATTTCTAGTGCATAAGTCTTAAGCTCTTAAAGTTGTTGCCTTTTTTCCAATATTATAGATGGGTTCCCCCTAAATTTTACATCTTGATTTTTTTATTGCTAGCATATAATAATAATAATAGTAACAAATATAGCGGTGAAAAGAACTAGTAACTGAGTTGATTTTGTAACCAAGTGAAAATGGTGTTAATGCATTTGTGGAACAGAAACTTGGTGGCTAACAGCGTTTCTTCTTCTTAGGATCAGTTTATGTGTGGAGAAAGAGTCCCAGCACCTTCAACCAGCAAAGAGTTAGTTAAATGCTGAAGAAGCCCTGGGGAACCCAAATTGTGAGCAATGGGGAATGAGCCCAGGTGGATGGATGAGTGCTGAGTTAAGAAGTTCTACATAGAACCGCTGTCTTCTGGCTTGCTTCCAAGGGTGTGGAAGCATCTTCATCAGCTGCTGAATTCATTAAATGGGCCTGTGACATATCAGACCTGGATTTCATGCTTACACAGACTTGGATTATTAATTGTCCATCTGAACATAAACTGGTCCCTTTTCTTTCTCTCAGTTGCATCATTTGAATGTCTTAAAACTAATTCTGAAAACAACATTGCCCACTTCAGTCCCGAGGGCTCTTTATTTTTTAAAGATTCTTTATTTTATTTTTAATATTGTGTGGGGGTGTGTTCATGTTAGTACAGTTGCCCAGGAAGGCCGGAGGCGTGGCATCCAGAGCAGGAATCCAGCAGAAGTGGGTGCTGGGACCCAAACTTGGGTCCTTTCAAGACACCGCATGTTCCCAACCTCTGACTCATCTCTCCAGCCCACGGGGTCTTTATTTTAAAAGATTACATTTTGATGAATTGCTGAGATGATTCAGGCGAGGCTTTTCTGTGTCATTTGCTTTGTTGGAAACTTAAGGAAATGTGTGCCTTTCCTAGGGCTGCGCTCTGGCTCCTCCTCCAGCTGCCGATCACATTGATTGATTGCCGTGATCGCATGGTTAGAGCCATCCCTGTCACTCTTTGTGCAGAGTTCAACTGTGGTATTGGATTGTGAGGCCACGGTTTCTCTGTAGCTTCCAATTATTGCCTGAGGAAGGAGAAGCTGGAGTGAAATGGTAAAAGTAACGGCTTCTGGTACTTCGTGCGTTCCTTGTGTTAGAGCAGAATAAGAAGAAACACAGCCAGTAGGTAGAAGTAAAACTGGCATCAGTGAGAGGCGTGAAATCTGTCAACTTGGCAGATGAACGTTGATGAGTATTTTGCCAGGTTGGAACAAGTATTTCTGTATCTGGGCCTTTATTTCTTAAAATGACTGATGGGACTGCATGTCACCCAGGGTCAGGCTGAGTCTTCTTTTGGCAGTAGTTGTAACGCATCGCAGGCTGTGCCACCCAGAGTTCTAGTGACGCCTCCACAACAGGGTGAGCTGGGGATGTGAGCCCACGAGCGCTCACCTAACAAGCCTGCACACAACGGAGGTCCAAGGCAGACCCGCACTCCTGCTGGGTGACTCGCCTGAAAGAGATGTGGGAAGCTGGACTATTAGTCTTCCTTCACTGCAGCCTGAGAGTAGCAAGAAGTGGACTCACTTGGCAGAAAAGTCCTTTGTAAACAGCTTTGCTGGAAATGCATGAAGTTTTGAAAGTGCACTTGTGGACATATATTTGCAGCATACAGGACATCCCATCGTGCACCAGTATCCAACAGGTTGTTTGGGGTATGGCTTCTGCAATTAAAAAGTAGCCAGTAGATGGGTCATGGGTTAAGAGCTCTTGCCTGTTCTTCTAGAAGCCTAGTGTGTTCAATTCTTAGCACTCACACCTGTCTATGACCCCAGTTCCTGGGGTTCTGATGGCCTCTTCTGACCCAGTAGACACCAGGCATGCACAGGTGCGCAGACATAGAGATCAAACACTCCTACAACTAAATACAGTTCTTTTAAGAAAATAACCAACGAGTAGTGGCCATTCATTGGAGGTTTGAATTAAACTACGTAACCAGGTTGGTTTTTTTAACCAGTGAGTACTGTCCAGCTCTAGATAACCATTAACTAGGCTAAGACAAAGTAAGTTAAAAGTTGCCAAAAGTGTGTTGTACATCATATGTCACATTTGTCGTGTCCATGTACTCTCCCTCGTGTGTGTGTGTGTGTGTGTGTGTGTGTGTGTGTGTGTGTGTGTTTTGTGGGGAGGTGTTGAACCTAGTCTCGCACATTCTGGGCTGCATCTCTAGCCAGCATGTTTTTAACTGTTTGATGTCCCCCAAGTCATCTTAGAAAGCAAAGCCATTGCTCAGACAGAGCAGGGGACGGGTGAGAGTGAGCTCTGCAGAGAAGAGACTGTCCTGTGCTCAGATCAACAGCTTTGGAGGTTGCACTAACCGACTCTCTGCTCCTTGATGTGGGTCTCTGGGTGTGCTTTACGGAAAAGTGCACAACAGTGACGTGCACAGCATAGCAAATGCCCTGGGAGGGCCTATGGGCCATAACAACCAGTTGACCAATCAACACAGGACCGGTCCTGCAAACCTGGAAGCGCACCACTCCTGAGACTGTTGAATACCCCTAGACACTCCCCTTATGCTGCCCTATAAGATCCCCACCTACTGAGTGCCTGGGGATTGCCTGGGGACTGCCACAGAGCTTCCCATTCCGGCAGGAGCCACGCACCCCAGATCCCAGGTCTTCTCTTCCACCAAGGGGACCAGGGGACCAGGTGGGAGACTAAGCACCCCAGATTCCTGGTCTTTTTCTCCACCCACCAGACCAGAACTAGGACGAGGAATAGAAGAACTACCAGAGTATTGGATTTGCTTGCACCCACTGAAAGGGAACTCTGGTCTCCTAACCACCAGAACAGTAAGGGGCTCTTTCTGCACCCACTAGAAGAAGAGATGGGAAAGAAACAATACAAAAACACACTCAGCAACAGAAAAACAAATATGACACCGCCAGATTCTAGAAACTCCACACCAGCAAGACTCAAACACTCCAATGTAAATGAAGCAGAAGAGAATGACCTTAAAAACCACCTTCATGAAAATGATAGAAGCCCTAAGAGAGGATATAGGAAAATCCCTAAAAGAAATGGATGAAAAAACAACCCCCCCGGAAAATTCAAGAAATGGAAGAAAAACAAACCAAAAATTGCAAGAAATGGGAGAAAAAGCAAATCCAAAAATGCAAGAAATGGAAGAAAGAACAAACCAAAAAATTGATAAAATGCAATAAATGTATGAAAAGATAAACCAAAATTTTCAAGAGACAATTCAAACAGTGCAAGGGTTGAAAACTGAAATAGATACAATAAAAAAATCACAATCTGAAGAAAGGCTAGAAATAGAAAAGCTGGGCAAATGGTCAAGTACTACCGATACAAGCATTACCAACAGAATACAAGAGATGGAAGAGAATCTCAGGTGTTGAAGATATACGATATACTAGGAGAAATAGATTCATCAACCAAAGAAAATCTTAAGTCCAACAAATCCCTAACACAAAACATCCAGGAAATATGGGACACCATGAGAAGACCAAACCTAAGAATAATAGGTATAGAAGAAGGTGAAGAAAACCACCTCAAAGGAGCAGAAAACATATTCAATAAAATAGAAGAAAACTTTCCCAACCTAAAGAAAGACATGCCAATGAAGGTACAAGAAGCTTACAAAACACCAAAGAGTGGATCACACAAAAAAAAAAAAAGGCCCCTGGCCACATAATAATCAAGACCCCAAATACACAGAATAAAGAAAGAATATTAAGAGCAGCTAAGGAAAAAGGCCAAGTAACATATAAAGACAAACCTATCAGAATTACACCTGACTTCTCCATGGAAACTCTGAAAGCCAGAAGGTCCTGGATAGATATTCTACCAACACTAAGAGACCATGGGTGCCAGCCCAGACTACTATACCCAGCAAAGGTCTCAATCAGTATAGATGGAGAAAACAAGATATTCCATGACAAAACTAGATTCAAGAAATACATATCCACTAACCTGGCCCTACAGAAAGTTCTGGAACAAAAACTCCTACCCAAGGAAGTTAACTACAACCAGAAAAACATAGGCATTAGATAGTCCCACTTAACCAACAGCCAAAAAAAAAAAAAGTGTAGAATTCCACACATAACTCCCCAACAGCAACCACTCCAAATCAAAGAAGAATGAGCAATCAATGGTCATTAATATCTCTCAATATTAATGGCCTTAATTCACCCATAAAAAGACACAGGCTAACAGAATGGATTCGAAGTCAGAATCCATCCATCTGCTGCATACAAGAAACACACCTCACCCTCAAAGACAGACATTACCTCAGAGTTAAAGGTTGGGAAAAGATTTTCCAACCAAATGGACCCAAGAAACAAGCAGGGGTAGCAATCCTAATATCTAACAAATTATACTTTAAAATAAAATCAATCAAAAGAGATGAAGGAGGTCATTACATACTCATCACAGGCAAAATCCACCAAGATGAAGTTTCAATTCTGAACATCTATGCCCCAAATACAAAGGCATCCATGTTTGTACAAGAAACATTACTAAAATTCAAATCACATATAAAGCCCCAAACACTTACAGTGGGAGATTTCAATACTCACTCTCACCACTAGACAGAAATACCAGGCAGAAACTCAACAAAGAAGCAAAGGGTTTAATAGAAGTTATTTCCCAATTGGGATTAACAGACATCTATTGAACATTTCATCCACATAAAAAAGAATATACCTTCTTCTCACCACCACATGGAACCTTCTCAAAATTTGACCACATACTTAGCAACATATCAAACCTCAGCAGCTACAAAAAAAATTGGAATAACTCCATGCAACTTATCAGACCACCATGCATTAAAATTACAATTCAACAACAACACAAATTACATTAACCCCACAAACTCGTGGAAATTGAATAATGCACAATTGCACCATTTCTGGGTCAAAGAAGAAATAAAAAAGAAATTAAAGACTTTCTAGAACTCAATGAGAATGAAGACACAACATACCCAAACCTATGGGACACTTTGAAAGCAGTGCTACGGGGGAAGTTCATAGCACTAAGTGCCCACATGAAGAAACTGGAGAATAGTTATACTAGAGAATTAACAGCACAGCTGAACGCTCTAAAACACAAAGAAGCAAACTCCCCCAGGAGGAGTAGATGCCAGGACATAATCAAACTGAGGGCTGAAGTCAATAAAGTAGAAACTAGGAAAACAATACAAAGAATCAATGCAACGAAGAGTTGGTTCTTTGAGAAAATCAACAAGATAGACAAACTTTTGTCCAAACTTACCAAATGGCAGAGTGTGAACATGCAAATAATTAATAAAATCAGAAATGAAAAGGGAGACATAAAAACAGACTCTTCAGGAAATCATCAGGTCATACTTTGAAAACCTATACTCCACAAAACTTGAAAATTTAAAGGAAATGAACAACTTTCTGGATAGCCATCACTTGCCAAAATTAAATCAAGAACAGATAAACAATTTAAAAAGACCTATAACCCCTATGGAAATAGAAGCAGTCATCAAAAGTCTCCCAACCAAAAAAAGCCCAGGGCCAGATGGCTTCAGTGCAGAATTCTGCCAGAAATTCAAAGAGCAGCTTACA